TTTTACCTCATTACTTTCGGGAGAAAATGGTTGGCCTACACCCTCGGGTAAGTCCTCCCGCAAATAACACCTATTGACTGTGACCCACTTTGACCCAGTTTTCATATCCTCCCACATTGACTGTAATGTCAGGTCAAATGCTTCATGTTAGCAACATAGCAAGGGAAGAAGAAACACTGAGCATTTAGAGATAGTGCACCAGCTAAGCAGTAAGGGATCTAAGTCGAGAAACAAAATGTTTCCACCTCTATGGCAGCACATTATCACCATTCACATATAAAAAGAAAACAACCCCCACGTAGATCATGATTAACATATAGAAGGTACTACTTGCTGCCTTCCACAGATTTAGATGGCGAACATACTTACCTGAATCTTAGAAGGTATCAATCTGCCATGACTAGAATGAAAAAGGGCATGATCCAGCACTTTGTACACCACTCCTCCAATGCAACAAGACTCGTAGAATGCTTTGTCATCGAAAACCTTAATCGTAGAACCAACCCACTCAACAGTTTGAAGCACCTCAGGAGACAATTGCACGCTGTTACTAGAACCACTAGTGTTCTTAGCAGGATGCCCATGAGCAACATCTGGCTCACTTTGCTCAACATTGTGTTCTGAAGCAGAAGGTGCATGAGCAACCCCTTGCTCACTTTGTTCAACAGTGTGTTCTGAACCCGAAGGGGTATGAGCAACACCTTGCTCACTTTGCTCAACATTCTGTTCTGCAGAAGGTGCATCAGCAACACCTTGATCACTTTTGTCAACATTGTGTTCTGAAGGAGCATGAACACCACCCGGCTCAATATGCTTGGCATTTTCTTTTGAAGAAGAAGGTGCATGAGCAATATCTTGCTCACTTTGCACGGCATTGTGTTCTGAAGCAGGCACAGGAACAACACCTTGCTCACTTTGGTTAACGTTGTGTTCTGAAGAAGAAGAAGGACCATGAGCAACACCATGCTCACTTTGCATAGAATTGTGTTCTGCAGCAGGCGGTGCACAGGCAACATCTCGCTCCCTTTGCTTCACATTTTGTTCTGAAGCAGAAGGCGCAGGTTGCTCATCTTGTTCACTTTGCTTGACGTTGTGTTCTGAAGCTGAAGCCACATGACCAACACCTAGCACAGCAATGTGTTCTGAAGCAGAAGGCGCATGTCCTACACCTTGCTCACTTTGCTTGGCATTCTGTTCTGAAGCAGAAGGTGAATAGCCAACACCTTGCTCACTTTGCTTCACATTTTGTTCTGAAGTAGACGGCGCAGGTTGCTCGCCTTGCTTGACATTCTGTTCTGATGCAGAAGGTGCAGGAGGAACACCATGCTCACTTTGCTTGACATCGTGATCTAAACCAGGATCAACCTCACTTTGCTTATCATTATGTAATGAAGGAGAAGATGCCTGAGCATCACCTTCCTCAATTTGTTTGATATCATATCCTGAAGCAGACGTTTTCTTTGATTCTTCAACATCACCGCCTTGACAAGTAACTGGAAGGTCTTTAGCAGTGTTTAAAGGTCCTGCTTCAGCAACATCTTGCACATTGTGCTGGGATTTGGCTTCACACGTATCATGAATGTGGCCAGACAGCAAAGCAGGAGGATCCAGTTTTTGTTCAGAAGTGGATCTCTTGTCATGAATAGGAGATCCACATGCTTGAATTTGTGGACTGCATGTTTCACCTGACAATGCAACAGAAGATGAATCATGAATGGGCCCCGGAGGTTTTCTTGAGTCAGCTTCATTTTGAAGAGTTCCAGCATGAGACATCAAGCTCGTACCTTTTTCTTTTGAAGTGATGCTGTTTCCTGACAGTCCTCTTTCACTACCAATCTTAGAACCAGAGACAAGGTCCACACACCCAGAAGTTCCAGATTCTGTAACACTTTCTAACACAGAGCTCATTTTATCTTGATCACCCTTCTGACCCATATTCACTAGTTTCTTATCTGACAAGGACTGAGCTCCAGCCTGGGTAGCACTAGCAGGCCCCTTTGGAGGGGTCATGCTTCTCATGACACGGCCATATTTAGGGGGAAACGGTTTCCCGTTGCTTAATGATGTGCATTTCATGCAGTGCCACTCAGTTCTAGGAACAACTTTCTGGAATACAGATTCCAGACATTTTAGGTGAAATCCTTTCTCACAAGCATCACAAATGATAACATTTTCAACCTCATTGATAGTGAGGTTGCAGCTTTGGCAAGTCAAAGCCTTGTTCATGTATTCCCTTGAAGGAAGAGTCCATGTGGGACGTTCAGGAAGCTTTGGTTGCAGTAACTTCTGAACAACTTTGGCAATCTCGCTGTGATTACTGTAAACAGCCTTCACAGTTTGCGTAGGCTGATGCACGCTTGGCATACTTGTTGCTGCTGATTGAGTAATTGGTGGCCGGAATGCTTGACTACCACCTTGACCTGTCCATGGTACACCTGAATCAGCAATCCCATCGGCCTTTACAGGAGTATGACTTGGCACCTTGCTGCCTGCCGCCACCGTAGAGGGCAAGGGACTGGGTTGTAAAGACCAAGTTGGAGCATTCCCCAGAGGATGATGTAAAGGAGCTTTTGCTGCAAAAAGGAATTTGAAAATAGGGATTCAGTACCAAACCTAAAAAGAAGTAAGAACTTTAAGCATCTCTAAGTCTCAAAGTTCAGACAAATTGCTGAAGAATTTTCCTTGCAAGCAGCCACCAAATCTCATAGGCTCCTGCCATGCAACCAACAGGCCCTCTTTTAAGAGCTTGAAGTCAACGACAATTTATTATTCACCACCACTGATCATTCGAGTCCGCAAAAGAAACAGGTTATTTTTTGACAAGAGCATCTTTGTTTTTCAACATCTCAATGCCATCCTACTTTATTTTATCTACATGCAAGTACTTATAAGAAAGGCCCAACCCGACATAGAGCCACTAAACATTTACCACATCATCACTGGCAGAGTTGGCCAAGATTGTAGCTTCCATAATGGAGAAGTTGGAATGAACAGAGGTAATAGTGTTGGAGAATTACGATTTAGTGTGTAAGTGTTCGCATTTGGTCCTCCTTCCACCTTAATAAACTGCCCTCTTGGTGCTGCTACTACAGATGAGTTCCCAACATGATTAATTGGTAACCGCACAGATGCTGCTGCTCCTTTTGCTTCAGCATTGGAAGCCTTCATATATGCTGCTGTTGCAGAAACATGAGTGAAAGGAGAATGATGAACTGGAGCAGTTCCAGAAGGTAAAGACGCATGAGTTGGTTTCTCAAATGGAAGCGGCCGAACAGTGTGCGTCGGGACACGACCTTCAGCTGTGACTGCAAAGCTTTGATGTGCGTGTGACGTCTGAGATACATGTGGAGTGACCTTCGGTTCTTCCATCTGGAGATACATTTCAACAATACATTTGATAAATTATTTAAGCAGCAGTAGGACAATAGATGCATCCATTTCCCATAAACTCTTAGAGTAACCTCGAACCCGGAAAGGAAAGGGGAATAAAAGAGCCTTCTCCTAATCAACAGAGCTTCTTTGGATTGTAAAAGAAACAAGCAAATATCCCACTAAGCGTACATCCAATCCAACAATCAACACCTAAATGTAAAGAAGCATTTTTCACTGAAGAAGACCATCTTATAACCCTCTGAAAACACCGCCTCCCCTACTTTCCTCATTACTAATGATCTATAGAAAAAGTGGAAACTCCTTCCGTTTCCTCATTCCCTCAGCAAGGAGAGGCAACATCTGAAGCTTCGTTTAACACTTAGTCTAGACCAACTGGCCTCGATTTCCACTGATGTGCATACTTCAAATCGAAATCCTAACTGATGCTCACTCAGTCTACATTCTAAACCACCTTAACAAAAGAAAAAATCAGTGCCTCTGAATAAGAACATATCAGAGACAAGCATTTGCCAACTTCAACGAATAGGCAACCGTATGAATGGAAAAAAAAAAGCATTCAATATGTATTACCTTCTTCTGTGCGTGGGCAACCTTCTCCTTAATCGACATCCTGGATCCACGAAATCCTAATCTCTGATCATTCAGCTTCCAATCGAGCCCCAAATCCTCGATAACCTTCCCAACCGCGTCTCCATTCACCAACTCCTTCGGCGCAAACCGCTGACAGATCTCCGCCAATTTATCCTTCGCCGCGACCATCAGCTTCACCTCGTCCTCGGTAGGATCCCTACCTCCTCTCATCCGCCCCATGGCGGACAACACCAGCAGCATCTCAGCCACCTGCCTCATCTCCCCAGCCGAATTCTTCTTCAACTTCTTCGCATCCCTACCGACATCCTCGCTCTCCACCTCCGCCGCGGTCGTCGGCAGCGGCCTCTTCTCCCCAACCGAATCAGCTTCTCCTCCGCCGGCATCTGGCTTCGGCTCCACAAGAGCAGCAGCCTCGCCGTTCCCCTCCCGATCCATGACTGCGCGCCGTACGGCGTCTCGACCAGAACCTGCAAAGTGGAAGAAGACAGCATCAGTCAGAGACGGCAAGAGAGAACCCTAGCGGGAAGAAGGAAGGCGCCGGGTTTTGAAAAATCGAGACGTTAAGTGTGATGGATTCGAGAAGGACCTTTTTGGCGGGTAATAATGGTTGAGAAACGAATTATTGTTTTTGTTATTTGTGTGCGACTGTGAAAAAATTTGGCGAAGGGGAAAGAGCAGAGAGAGAAGGAAGGAAGATGGACGATGGAGGAGACGGATGGAGATTATATGAGCGGCGGTTAATTCGCTAATAAAGGGGTTTGGTTCGGGTGGTTGAACCGGACGGTTTGCCCAGTCCGGCCGCGAAATTGGGGGTTTTTGTGTTTTTGGGAAAATATTTTTGTTGAAAATAAAATACCGCGAAAAGGCCGTGGCCGAAACGAATTTGTAAAAAATATGAGGCGGCAAAACTAGAACAAAGGAAACTGTAGGGGCCACCCTCTAAAAAAAACACACCAAAATTCAGCTTGGACTTTGAGAGAGAGAGAGGGGAAAGCGCGAGAGCGAGCTCTCGTAGCAGAGCAGCAGAGAACTGCACTGGTGAGTTCGCAGGAGTCGACGATCTCGGGAAGGGAGAGAAGCGACTGAAGCCTCCCGAATTCGGTAGAAGAAGTCTGGGGAAGGAAGGAATTAGGGTATTTTGGGGAGATGTCGGATCTAGATAGGCAGATTGAGCAGCTGAAGAGGTGCGAGCCGTTGAAGGAGTCGGAAGTGAAGGCTCTGTGCTTGAAAGCTATGGAAATCCTCGTCGAAGAGAGTAATGTTCAGCGCGTGGATGCCCCTGTCACTGTAAGCATCCTTATCGTTCCTGTCTTCAAGCAATTCAATTTCTTTTCCCGTAATTGACTGTAGTTGAATCGTGGCTGTGAGTCTAGGGTTTCAGAATTAGGATAATTGCGTATATGCATATATTGGTGACGTGTGTCTCTACACCTCCCCCACCCGTGGCAGTGGTCTTACCCAGGAAATGTAAAGCTTAATTCTTGATTTAGGACTTGGATTAGGAAGTCCCTAAACAGGCGTTAAGAGTTGTTTGGTTCGTTCTTTATCATTGTCCTCTAGTGATTGTCAAAATTGAATGCGTGTCCCCCACCCCTGCCATGGTTTCACTTCAGAGAACCTAAGCTCTTACTTGATGGCTAGGATTAGGAAGCTTGTAAAGTGTTTGTAAGGGCATTTACTTAACCGGTTCGTTCTGTCATTCCCCTCTGTTTTGATCGTTAAAATTGAGAACTATTTTCATTTGTTGTTCCATCATGGTAAGAGTTGTAAGTTATATTGTGATTGTGAACATATCATTCAGCTGAGTCTAATGTGAGTTTAATCTCGTACTTGAACAAATTGGTTCCTACATTTTTTCTTTCTACTTGTCATCCATGCAGTCAAAATCGCGCTTTAAAACTTAAAAGCTTACGCTTTTATCTTTTTAGGTCACCAAAATGCTTCTACGTAGAATCGTGATTTTCCCTTACAAATGTAGTCAAAATCTACGCTTTAAAACTTAAAAAACTTACGGTTTTCGCTTTTAGGTCACCCAACCGCTTCTAGGTAGAATCGCGCTTTTGACTGCATTGCTTGCCATGCTATTTGGTGCTATTAATGCTGCTAATTTCCTATGTGAGGCACAAGTCTACTGATTGATATACTTGGTCATGACTAAAATTGGACCATGAAACAAGTTTGGCTGGGGATCTCCTGCTTCAGGCTATTTGTTGTTGGGTGAAGTGGTGGATCTGGTCTGATAGTTTTCAGCCAGCTTAGGTTAAGCGTGGGAATGAAGCGAGTTTAATGCTTTTAGTTAGAAATTGAAACCTGTTTATAGGATTCACCTGTAGGGTTTAGGTCTAGGATTGTTGCCCCCTGGCATGACCTTATAGCTGTTTGAAGGACGGTTTATGTTGGTTCTGTGTTTCATGTGAAATTAGGAGCTGAATAACCCCATGTTTCTGTTAACTATTTTTATTGGTATGTGTTCCCTTGCATGCTCGCTCTCTTAGGGACTGATTTCTTGGATTGAAGTTCTAAATTCACCGAGGGTGAGGAGTCAATGTTCTTCTTCTCTTCTCTTCCCTTCTCTTCTCTTCTCTTCTCTTCTCTTCTCTTCTCTTCTCTTCTCTTCTCTTCTCTTCTCTTCTCTTCTCTTCTCTTCTCTTCTCTTCTCTTCTCTTCTCTTCTCTTCTCTTCTCTTCACTTCTCTTCTCTTCTCTTCTCTTCTCTTCTCTTCTCTTCTCTTTGTGCAGCAAAATTCTGAACAGAAGTCGTGACACTATAGTTATAAGGGTTTTCCTTGGTTAAAAGTTTTGTTGGTTACTGGGTAGGTCTACTTACTAACTATGTTGGCTGTTACCATCTGTAGATATGCGGAGATATCCATGGGCAGTTTTATGACATGAAGGAGCTTTTCAAAGTAGGAGGAGATTGCCCAAAAACTAATTACTTATTTCTTGGAGATTTTGTTGACAGAGGATTCTACTCTGTTGAAACATTTTTGCTTCTGCTTGCCCTTAAGGTATTATTTTTCTCCTATCTCGAGATACTCCGTCTCCTATTTTCCTCCATGTTTCTTTTGACCTCGGTATCCTTGGGCCCTGTGAGGGGTACTCTAGGCTTCTTTACTGTTTTTCTTTGTCTGAGCAGTTCATCATTCGTCCTTTTTATATAACGATAGTCGTTTTTTGTCAAAGTTGCATAAAACCGAATATGAATACAATGTTGGAGCTAGTGAATCTTGTTTCACTGAATTTGAATTGCTGCCAGGCAAAATCATTCAAGTCGTGGATGCAACTTTTACTCTCTACACCCATTTCACATATGATAGCTGCAATCAACTTGAACTTTGGTCCCCACAAGTATTTATAGAGGCATACATTGTATAAGTTCATAGAATAAACAATATTACATTCGTCTTTTTTCCCATCCTGCTTTTCGCAATTAAGGAGTTGCTATTTTGTCAGGTTCGATATCCAGATCGAATCACGCTCGTCAGAGGAAATCATGAGAGCCGTCAGATAACACAGGTTAAGCTCTCTTACCGTCTTCCTTATTTCACTACATTGGTTGTTGCAGTTCTGAAATTTACATTCCCTGTCCTCTTTGTGCAGGTGTACGGTTTTTATGATGAGTGTCTAAGGAAATACGGTTCTGTAAATGTATGGAGATACTGCACGGATATCTTTGATTACATCAGGTACCACAGTAGCAGCTACTTAATCTTATTACTAATATCAGTAGCAGATAGGTTGTGAGCTGCTGTTTTTCTTTTCAGTTAATATTACTCATTCTCGCTTATTGGAAAAAGATCATTAGCCGGTGATTTTGGTCTAACTGGCTCTAGTTTGAGAGCTCTTTTTTCTTCTACACTAAGTTGAAGTGATCATTTTCTCCTTTAGTTGGTAAGAAATAGACTTTCTCATAAAATTATCCCTTAAGCTTCAGCTCGAGGAAACAAAACCACCATCTGCTTTTAGGGTTTGTAATTAACCTGTGGGCAAATAAAGACATATTCTGAATTCTGATTAGGAGTATGCATTGCTTATCCAGAACCAACATTCAGTTGCTTTTGTGAAAGTTGTCAATTCTGAACTGGTCTGACTGGTCCTATTTAATGCAGTTTGTCAGCGCTCATTGAGAACAAAATTTTCAGTGTCCACGGAGGTCTCTCTCCTGCAATATCAACCTTGGATCAGGTAGACTGGTCTACTTTTAAAACCTTCTTTTGCTTATAATTTGCTTGTTAAATTTACTGAGCAATTCTGGAAACAGATCCGAACCATTGACAGAAAACAGGAAGTCCCTCATGATGGTGCCATGTGTGATCTCCTTTGGTCAGATCCTGAAGATATTGTTGAAGGTTGGGGTTTGAGCCCGCGTGGTGCAGGTTTTCTGTTTGGTGGCAGCGTGGTTAGTTCTTTCAACCACTCAAATAATATCGATTACATTTGCCGCGCTCACCAGTTGGTGATGGAAGGATACAAATGGATGTTCAACAACCAAATAGTTACTGTTTGGTCGGCTCCAAACTACTGTTACAGGTAAAGAATGATTCCCCTTTCTGAAACATACACCCTCCCTCCCCTTAGGGATTTATTTGTTGACCCGACTTTGGGTGGCATTCCTCGGTATCTGTTGCAGATGTGGTAATGTGGCTGCAATCCTGGAGCTGGATGAGAACCTCAACAAACAATTTCGCGTGTTTGAAGCTGCCCCTCAGGTTTGTAGATGAACCCTGTTTTAGGAATTGTTATCCATGAAGAAGGGAGAGAATGTAGTTGTTGTTATGGTGGGTATAGTACTAATTGCAGAATGTAAAAAAAATGTAGGAGTCAAGAGGAGCACCTGCCAAGAGGCCAGCACCTGATTACTTTTTGTGACATCAGTGACGGTGGAAGAAGGCATGACCTCCCTTGTCATCTTATTCCAAATGAACTGGCATATGACGAACATGGAATTTTTTCACGACGACTTCATCGACATGGTACCCCGGCTGTTGTCATTCGCTGATGGTACCAAACAGGCTCGACAGTATATGCATTCATCGCCGAGGGTTGGATCAGCTGGTTGTGTTAAGGTTTCCCCCTTGGTTCCTTTTTCGTCTGTGTAACTGTGGGTGTCTATGTGAGTGAGTGAGTGAGTGAGTGAGTGAGTGAGTGAGCGAGCGAGTGAAATTGGCATAGCATTTCAGGGTGCCGATTTTAAGAAGGATGGGTCTGTAACAAATTACAAGAGATTAGCGTTTTTCCCCTTCTCCTCTCCTTTTTGGTCTCCTCTTCTGGCTTTTGTTCATTTTTTGTGATGGAAGAATTCAGCGCCAGGCGAAGCGAGAAATGTGCAAGGAAAAGAATGTCATCTGCCTTTTTTTTCTGCTTTCAGTTTCTGTAGCCAGTTTTTCCCCCTCTAAATTCTCATCATACCACTAACGCGGGGCTCGGCTTCTTGGCGGAAGAGGTTAGTAGTTGTGTACAATTTTGCTCCACTTCAAAGTTGGGGTGTCAATCGGGGTGTCAATTTTGCTCCACATACGTGATTGATAAATTAAATCTTTAACAATGTATTGCAAAAATGCCAAACATCATATATATATATCTTCCTAATGTATTTAGGCACTTTAATTCAATTGTCTTGGTAATGAAAGTCTTATCTATACAAAAGATTCTTGAAAGAATAACGTTACAATTTCTTCCCATAATACATGCATAATCAACATGTTGGCAAATCATAACCGGTTAGGACAAAGATTACTATAACTCATTGAAAGATATTCAAACTTTAGGTCCAAATTGTAGTCAAATAGAACAGTCCCACCAATCTGTTAGTGGGTAAACTGCCCCGCCAATTACGTTTGCAAAATTCGACCTCGATTCATTAAAAGGCTGTCATTCGAGTAATCAAAACCCTCACAAACTACGTTTCAAGAGAAATGGTAACCAAACAAATCCCCCAATGCAAAGAAGCCTCAGAATCAACCAACATATTGAAATCAGTAATTCCAAATTTGATGGCATCGACTATATATAGCCACATCACCGCTAACCGAAACCTCCATTTTTGACTATCCAAAATTGCTCATAAATCTACCAATCGTGATTTAAAAAAAAAATGATATATAAGAGTGTAGCTTACGAATTGGTGAAGTGGGACTGCACGAGAAGCTGGAAGACCGACAACGCAAAATGTTTATTTATTAAGAGCAATATTTAATCACATTAATACAACATTACAAATTAAATATTTTATGGAAATCTTATTCAATATTATAAAATATTTCAAGATGCTAAACGGATTTATTTAGCCAAAAAAAGAAATATAAAAGTTAAGCATTTATAGATCCTACTAATGTTACTGATCTGGGACTTAGCTCCAAAAACTACGATGGCTATCAGCTATCTAACTGAACTTATAAGAAGCTTTTAGGAGAACTGAATCTTACAGTGAAATCTCCCTAAAACCTACAAAGACAAGGGGGAAAAAAATCCTAAAGTGAAATTGTTTTCCTTATTAGTATAGGATTAGGGTTCGTGTGAAGCTCTATGAATAACTACCCCTCCAATTTCATCGGTTGAAGAAATATATCAGGAAGGATTTCGGCGATCGGTTCAACGCCATCAATGTCACGCGGTGGCCGGAACACGGGATTTCTCCCACGGGATCCCACTCCCACATATCCATTCGATCAATATAATACTCTCGCTTCTTCGATTCTACAAGGCGCCGGCCTGAACCCTAATCTCTCTTCCGCCGGCGGAATCCGCAAACCATCTACGGCGGCCGCTCAAAACATAGAGAAGCGACTGAGGGCCCACATCATCGGACAGGAGGAAGCGGTGAAGGCGGTCGCCCGGGCCGTCCGCCGCGCCTCGGCCGGGGTCTCCGACCCGAGCCGACCCGTCGCGAGCTTCCTCTTCACGGGCCCGACCGGGTGCGGGAAAACAGAGCTCGCGAACGCCCTGGCGATCGAGTTCTTCGGGTCGAAGCAGTCGCTGATCCGGCTCGACATGAGCGAGTACATGGAGCGGCACAACGTGGCGAAGCTCTTCGGATCCCCGACGGGCTACATCGGTTCCCAGCAGGGCGGCCAACTGACGGAGGCGATCAAGAAGGAACCCAACTCCGTCGTCCTCTTCGACGAGATCGAGAAGGCCCACTCCGACGTCTGGAACGCGCTCCTCCAGATCCTCGACTACGGCACCATGACGGACGGCCGCGGGCAGAAGTTCGATTTCGGCGGCGCCATCGTCGTCCTGACTTCGAACGTCGGACAGGGGGCCGTGATTCAGGGGATCCCCAACGACGACGAAGCCGCGGCCAGGGCTCAGGTTAACAATGCAGTTAAAATCGCACTTTAAATGTTAAAAACTTACGCTGCTTTTTACGTTTCTAAGTCACCAGAAAACTTCTACGCCATAATCGAAGCTTGCTAGTTAAAAACTGTATTTTAAAGTTTAAAAACTTTCGATTTTACATTTCTAGATCACCAAATCGTTTTTATGAAAATCGTGTGTTTCTACGTCGAAGCGATTTGGTGATCTAGAGCGTAAATCGTAATCTTTTACGTTTTAAAGCGCGTTTTTAGTAGAAGCGTTTTGGTGACATAGAAACGTAAAAGCGTAAGTTTTTAAGTTTTAAAACGCAATTTTGACTACATTGCTTTTTACTACACTGCAGGTTATGAAGGAGCTGAAGGGGACATTCAAACCGGAGCTTCTCAACAGATTGGATGAGATTGTGATTTTCAGGCCGCTGGCGCCGGAGGATCTGAACAAGATCATCGAGATCATGTTGAAGAAATTGGCCGACAGGATGAAATCGGGGAAGGGGATTCGATTGCAGGTGGCTGAGGGATTGAAGGCGAAAATCGCCAAAGAAGGGTACGATCCCAGCTACGGGGCGAGGCCATTGAAGAGGGCGATTATCCGGCTGGTGGAAGATCCACTGGCCGAGGCGATTTTGGATGGAAGGGTGAAAAACGGCGGCGCAATTACTCTGTTTCCGGACGGCGACGAGGGCAGTCACAAGCGGCCGCTGTGTTTGGATGATGACGAAGAAGAAGAAGCAAGGAAACGCCGGCGGGAAAAGAAAGCGAAAGGGATTGTGGATCCTTCCAAGAAAACAGAAATTATAGAACTTGATTAAGGCGGAAGAATACTCGTTCATGTTGTTGAATTTGCTAGTAAGAGTTCATTCATGTTTTAGTCTCAATATTTAAGTTTTTGTATATATTAAGAATGCGTTCAAATCTAGAATCGCGATTTTCACCTACAAGTATATAGTTAAAATTTATGCTTTGAAGTTTGAAATTTTATGTTTTCACCTTTTTATATCACCAAAATTTTTATGTAGAATGTGATTTTGATCGCATTGACTATGAATTATTATGTGGTTGAATCAGGTCTCGTAAGCCAGGTTTAAAAAGCCGCTAGGTGTAAGGCCAGCGTGGAGCCTTTGCCTGTGCCTAGGCGTTGGAAGAAAAATAGCAATTCGCACCGGTATGATGAGTGAAAAAAATAATCTATAACACTTCCTCACTTCATTTAAGATGATTAATAACTTACTCAAAACTTAATGACAAGAACATAGCTCACAAATTCGTAGAAGCATAGATCAAATGATCAATAGCTCACAAAGTTATTGAGCTATTGAAAATATTGATATAGAAAATTGATTTCATAGTTGATGTTAATTTTCTCCTTTAATATTGACTTTCTAGCTCCATCTAGTAATTTTTAGGAGAGACTTATATGTCGCCTTACTCTATTGACATTTTTCAGTATCTAATTAGGCGCGAAACCCCCTAGGCAAGATGCTTTGTCATTGTCTTACGCCTAGGCGTGCCTAAGCATAAGGTTAAGCGTGTATTTTTGAAACATGATCATAAGTATGTAATTGACGAGTTAAATGTCATTTGTGATAAAAATATAATCATCTTCTATAATTTGGTTTTGCTAATTAATTCCAAGCTAATTCGCTTCCAGGTGTCGAACCTAGAAGTGTGGCCAAGTCAGCAAAAATGTTAGTCCAATCAGCATCTAAAATGAATTCGCTAAAGTTTTGAACGAAATTGGACATTTTTGTGTATTTATGAAAAATTGACTATTATTGTCACAAAATCGATAATTATAGCTATAGTAGGTGTATTAAATTGAATGATCAATGATGTATTGTGTTAGTGTATGATAAGATTTTATAGTGGTTTTGTAATCTTAATATTTTTCCTTGTAATAATAGTACTTCACAAAATACTTAATATTAAATAACAATATCTTCGAGTCCACTCCAGTCAACTCTCTCTCCTGACTCCTGAGATTCTACTTCATTCCCATGGCTGCCAGCCATCTACCCGTTCTGCAAATAGCAGCCAAAAAAATACAAGCTAGCCAACGCAACCAGCAAGAAGATGATTCGATCCCCAAACACCTCCTTTCTCCCAACACTTCCCCTCCTTCTGCTGCTTTTCCTCCTCACGGCCCAAGCAGCTCAACCCAGATTCCTCGCTCAGACTTGCAATTCCTCCTGCGGCGAACTAACAGGCATCACCTACCCATTTCGCCTCACCACCGACCCACAAGGCTGCGGCGACGCGGACTACGAGATCTCCTGTGAGAACGACAAACCCACTTTGCAATTCCACTCCGGTAAGTACCACGTCCGCCGAATCTCCTACGGAAGCCGCACAATTCGCGTCGTCGATCCGAGCTTCTTCGCCGCCAATGGAACCTGCATCGGCTTGCCTTCCCAATCGCTTTCCGTTATGGAATTGAATGAAGACCCTCGTTACAGAGGATTCGCTTCCAACATCGAGACCAGCTTTGTGCGATGCAGCGGTAATATCACCATCCAATCTTACAGGAGAGTACCGTGCTTGAGTGATGATGATGGGTTGAATTCGGTTTATGTCAGCTACGGGACTTACATAATTTCTGGGCTCAAGGGTCCTTGCTCTTTCCTCGCCAGGGTTCCCACGATTTATCAGGCGGTGATGGGTCCGAGCTATGAGAACATTATGTTGTTGTTGCAGGAAGGGTTTGATCTTGGTTGGTCTGTTGAGTGCCGGGATTGCCTTGCTCGTGGTCATGAATGTGTTATGACTGGATATGACACCCCGTTCACCTATGAATGTCGCAGTCCAGAGTACTACGTTTATGGTGTGGTTTCATTCTTCGCCGGTTTTCTTTCCAGTGTTTTCTTTGATATCACTCTGGTGGCCAGGTTCGTCCTCGCTCCAATGGTGGTTTTTGGGTTCCTGATCCACAAGTACAGAACAACACAGAAGAGTACTGTTACAGAAATGGTGGTGGCCAAGGGGAAGTTTGTTGCTGTTTCGAATTCTTCTCTTGTAGCTAGGAGGTACTCTTACGCTGATATAGTTGCGATGACGGATCAATTCAGAGACAAAATAGGCCGAGGCAGGTTTGGTACTGTGTTCAAGGGCAAACTGCCTGATGGTGGTTTGGTCGCGGTCAAAGTGCTTGGTGATCCAATCAAGCTCGCTGGCGAGGGTTTCGTGAATGAAATCAATGTAATTGCTAGAGTTCATCACAACAATGTGGTTAGGCTTCTTGGAGTTTGCTCTGAAGGATCTCACAATGTTCTCGTATCGGATTACATGCCTAATGGATCGCTTGATAAGTACATAGCTTCAAGAGAAGAGGGAACAAAATTCCAGCCTCTTAGCTTGGAGCAACTCCTTCAGGTTGCCTTGGGGACAGCTCGAGGGATCCGGCATCTACACGAGGGATGTGATTCATGCATTCTTCATATGGATATTAAATCTCAAAATGTGTTGCTGGACCATGGTTTTGTTCCAAAAGTTGCAGACTTTGGGCTGTCCAAATTCCATAATAAAGAGGGAAAGGATTCTTTCTCCATGGGGACTCCAAGAGCTGATCTCCGGCACGTTGCACCAGAAGTGCTCTCAAATGGCTTGGGAGATGTTTCGTGCAGATCAGACGTCTATAGTTTCGGAATGCTGTTGCTTGAAATGGTCGAAGGGAAATGGCTGGCCGAATCAAAGGGGAAATCTTCTTCTCAACTGTACTTCCCCATGTGGGTTTATGACCACTTAAGTGAAGGAGGAGATTTGGAGCTACAGAATGTTACTCAACTCGAATCTGCTATAGCGAGGAAGCTGTGTGTTGTGGGATTATGGTGCATCCAAAAGAGCGTGTCAGAGCGTCCATTGATGGCCAAAGTTGTGGAAATGTTGCAAACCAATGGTGATCATCTGCAGTTGCCTCCAAACTCGTTCTGCTTTCCGGAACATGTTTCTGCCAAGGACCTTCAATCGGATTCTTCCAGACAATTATTGATACCTGAATCTGTGGAGCCAAGCTCGTAGCTTTTCGCTCTCTTTCCTCTCTGTCTCCGGTAGTCGGGTAACAAGTTAAGAATATATGGCAAGTCGTGTGGAAGGGCAATGTAGATGGTGTGGTTGCTGCATTTTTGGTTGATCAAGTTCGACTCTGAGTTACCTTCTTTGCGCAGCTGAAGAAGGAAGTGTTGTATTGTATCCTTTTTGTGTTGCTCCTTGAGAAATATTGTCCAGCACTCCAGCTAGAGCGTGAACTGCAGATATTATGATAAGGCCATTGAAGACAGGTGCTTCACAGTTTGGCATAAGTGAATCTGACTTGAAGAATTAAGGCGATTATTAGAAGTTTGATCCAGAGTTGGTTTAGTAGTTATGTTGGAACTTGGTTTCTGTTGTTCAATTATGACTTTTCCCAGAAGGAAGCCCGCGCTCTGCGTGATGCAAGTGCTTATAGAGCAAGCAGTTCTTTAGCAGTATATATATGCATATGAATGGGTAAATCGAGCAATGTTCAGTCACTAGAAAATTTTAATATCAATTTTGGTCACTCGAATAACTGAAACATGTCATATTTAGTCACTCTTCCATTAGCCTCTGTCCAACTCCGGTCACTGGAATTACTGAAACATGTCACATTTAGTAACTCGAATTACTGAAACATGTCACATTTAGTCACCGTACCGTTACTTTCCGTCCAATTCCATGAAAGTAACGTACGAGACTAAATGTGACATGTTTAAGTAATTCAAGTGACCAAAATTGATATTAAATTTTTCTAGTGACTAAACATGACACGATTTAGTAATCTCAATGATCAAATGTGGCATTTACCCATATGAATGTTAACTTTTTAATCATTTTAATTTTTTTTCTTGTTTTTCATATTCTGAATTAAATAATAATATTTTAATTAATTATGTGCTGAGGTGTCGAGAAACCTGTATATTAATTAACTAGTATTTTGATTATTAGTATTTTGTCTAGCTCTAGCCTTAACTTACAGATTAAATTGTATTTCAAAAAATTTGAATATTATTTTGTACAAAATAAAAAGTTTGATTATTAAATGGTTTTAGTTCTATGGGTTGGCCAACATGTCAAAATTAGGGTTTGTTACTGTACCACCGTTCCGACTGATAGACCTTCTAAGTTCTAACGAAATCTAAATTGGTAAGTGACTTTTTGCGATATGAACTGATTGAATTACGGTTGAATTGGTAAGTGACTTTTCGCAATATGAATTGATTGAATTACGTTAAATCATAGTTTCATTACAAAATATTACGTCGCTGATTTTTGTAGTAAAACATTCGAAGCGGTTTCACAATTTTTGGACAAAATTTAACATTGGTATCGGTATCGATTTCTACATCAAAGTTAACTATGTTTGAATGGATAGAAAATTATTTGGTTGGCTACTATATTATTTTTTGAAAGACTAGACTATTATTTTGTTTTAAATTCAAAATTTCCCTATTGTATAATCATAATTCATTAGCTAAATTATCCAATCTCATGCCACATGCTGACGCTAATGAAAGGTTAAGGACAAAAAGCTGACGCTAATGCTATTGGTAAACTCGGACGGCCGAGAGAAAGCTTCAGAGAGCAATGAAAATCAAAGCTTCCATCTCCCCTGTAATGCTATTGACTGACTAAATATTGTTCATCGACAAAAACCCTCTCTCACCCCGCCGCTGCCATGGAGCTCCGGCTTCTCTTTCTCCTCTTCTGCTCCTCCCTCCTCGTTCTGCCAACCCATTTGACACCATCATCAGCAGCTAAAGACACCGATACCCATCTGCTCCAACCCACTGATCAACGGCGCGACGGCTACATCTCCGTGCTCTTGACCCAACAGGGGATCGATTTCGCCAAGGATGTCTTGATAGGCAAAGCAATTTCTTCTCTGATCCCAATTCAGCTGGACGACATCGAGAAGTCGGTCAAAATCCCGCTGGTTGGCACCGTCCGCATCCGTCTATCTGACATCGCCATCAACGAAGCCACCGTGGGTTCTTCACGAGCTCAAGCTGGGCGCCCTGGAATCCAATTGGTTGCTTCTGGGATTACTGCCCAGATGAGCTTGAAGTGGAAGTATTCTTACAAGGTTTGGTTTGTCGAGATTTCTGACCATGGAGTTGCCTCAGTTCAGGTAACCTGTAGTTTCTATTTTTTGGGCTAGTTTCAATTGTGCGAAATTGGTGTAAAATGGTCAGCTAAGATAAGTGAGAACGAGATAGAGTACTGGGATTGGGAATTGATGGGTTTTCTGGTTTGACTGGATAAAGGCTGAAGGTATGCGAGTTGGGGTCATTGCGGGTGTGAAGGAAGATGGAGGCACCCTGAAGCTTTCAGTTTTGGCCTGCGGCTGCCAAGTGGAAGATGTGTCTATTGATGTTCATGGTGGAGCATCTTGGCTTTATCAAGCGTAAGCAAATTGGTCTACTCTTTTAACTTCTTGGTTTCTCTTCTGTGGCTGTTCGTTTGTTCAAGAGGATATATACCCTTCAGCTGGGGTTGCTGGGGCCTTTTGTTTTAACCAATTAGGGAAAGTGGTTAGGCGATTGATGTAGCATCTAACAGCTAATCTTACCAGATTGAGAACTATGAGATTACCCCTTCAGTTCTAGGAAGAAAAAGTGTTAAACTTGGTACTTTCCTGAGAAAATATTCAACAGCATTGAAGAACCTTGTTTTCTGACTTGAGCTGAGTTGCTAACTGTGTATTTACTGATGGGCCGCTGCATTCCTTCCAGGTTGGTTGATGCTTTTCAAAACACCATAAAGTCCAAGGTGGAAAAGGCTGTTGCCAAGAAAATCACAGATGGGATCGCAAAACTCGACACCAAATTGCAATCAATTCCGAAGCTGATCAACATTGATCGTACTGCTGCACTGAATGTTACTTTTGTCAGCGATCCCATCTTCCAGTCATCTTCAGTTGATCTGCAAATTGATGGTTTGTTTACATCATTGGGTAATGCTTTGGCTCCGGCCTATCACCGTGTAGGGAGAGGAGCTTCTTTATATTACGACGACGAGTCTCGTATGATTGGAATATCACTACATGAAGATGTGTTTAATTCTGCTGCAACAACATACTTCAATGTAAGCCCGCTTTACTGTCAATTTCCAGCTTTTTACACGACCACGTCAAGGTGCTTTGACGATGAGCCTCAATGTGCTTGATCGCTTCCTAGGTTTTAGAGAAATAGTTTAACTGATGGTATGTCTAATGAGTTTTACATGTCCAGGCAGGTTATATGGATTGGAAGATCAATAAACTGCCAGATCAATCCCTCTTGAATACTGCAGCATGGAAGGATGTGTATCCCGAGTTATACAAGCTTTACCCCGATGATGACATGACTCTGGATGTGAAGTCTGCTTCTCCTCCAGTCATTACCATTACAGAGGATGATGGTAATGCTGCCATCGCCTTGGACGTGACAGTGAAAGTCTTGAATGCTACTCAAGTTCTACCAGTTGCTTGTGTATCAGTGGTAAGCATGTTTGGTTTGGATGTCTTCGACGAAGGTCTAAAGCTAAGATTAGCTGTACTATTTTTACATTGGTTCTTGATGATCCTTGGGGTTTCACTTGTTTTGTGCAGGCAATTAACGCTTCTTGCACTCCACAAATCTTGGGGAACAACCTTACTGGCGTTCTAGATATGAGAAGTTTCAAATTATCTCCCAAATGGAGCAACATCGGGAACCTACAGACCCCTCTACTCGAGGTACTCCACATTACTTGGCACTCACATGAGATATATATATGCGCACATTTATGCAGTGTTGTGTTGAGCTCCATTGCCAGCTTCAAATTCTCACATAATGTTCGACAACTCCTTGCAGGAGATGGTCTCCACTGTCCTAGGCAGCATCTTCATCCCATACGTGAACTCCCACCTCGCAAGAGGGTTTCCCTTGCCTGTAATTCACGGATTCGCAATCGCTGATGGTGAAATCAAATGCATGGATTCGAGCCTCATAATCCGCAGCGACATTGCCCTGACGTAATGGCACGCTTATAGCACAGACAACCAGGTTTCTGGGAAACTACACGATGCCTTGTACATAAAATTGTTCTGTGTAATATGAGAACAGCAGTTGAGATCAATCAAATGTGGGGTTTCCTTCTAGGCATTTCGAGTAAGCATATATAGCATCATTTGCAGAGATGCCAATGTAGTAACAGCTCCTCCCCGCAAAATTCATTTGCTTCTGTACTCTTTCTTTGTATCCATCTTCCTTGCAGTTTCAACCATGGTTTCTGGTTTCTGTAATCGACTCTGGCTGTCCAACCATGAAAACCTCCTCATATTGTCAGTCAGACTAATGTAGTACCTACATCTATAGGGAAAGTCTAGTTGATGTTACTAACTTTTGGTCGATATTATACCGATATATTATCGTGTTTTAGTATTGGCGATTCGAGTCACAAAGTGAAATTAACACACCTTGGTCTCTGCTGTTTTGTCACTTGTACTGATTCCTGATCACATTAAACTAAAGTCATCCACTAATGGATTAAAATTAGGGCTAAATCCTGTGGCGGAGGATGAGAGAGCGGCAGGACGGTGGAGTAAACGGCGGGTAACGGAAATTTAGAAAGTAAAAAAATAATAATAGGGTGATAAATTAAATCAGAAGAGGTCACAAAACCCAGCTCAGCTACACGACGCGGAAGATGAAACTTGCCGGGAAGCTAACGCTGTCGTGTTAAAGCAAGAAGAAATTGAGGGAGGGAGAGAGAGAAAGACCCAAGTGGGGAAAGGAAAGCAGCCATCTTTTCTTCCGTCCGTTCCCAATTTTGAAGTTAACAAGAGGGCGAGAGGTAGACGACGACGACGGTGCCGAGCCGGACTGCCGCTCTGCTTGGCGCTGATAATTCCGCCGGACAGCCCCCTTTTATCCAATTCTTGTAATGTAATAATTATTACATTAGTCAATTAGTAGCCTCTCAATTCAATTCACCCTCTCTCTGTTTCGATCTCTCTGCCTCTTTCTCATCGTCCTCTGTCGTTGAAGCCGTGACAGTTCCACCGATCGGAAGCCCAACGGTGAATAGAAGCTCTAAGGTGATCATTCCTAATTCCCTCTTAATCTCGCATTCGTTGAATTGGGGGGTTTTGATCGGATTTTTTTAGGGCTTCCTTTTCTTCCCCGTTGGAATTTTGGGTTTCTTCTTTTCAATCATTGGGGTAGTCCGGAATCTAGGTCTTGATTTTGGCGGAATTGGGGTTTTGAATTTTTGTGAATTAGCTCTAAATTTGATAGCTTTTTCTATGTTTTCTTTAGGAGAAAAATCGTGGATTTCCTTCCAGCTTTCATTGTTCACGCTTCATTAGTTTCCTCGCTAAACTGGATTGATGATTGATCATAAGTTTCAATGAACTTGGGTTTGCAGGCAGAGAAGATGGCATCTTCTTCCGACGCGTGGATGAAGGAGTACAATGAAGCGGCAAAGCTTGCGGATGATATCACTGGGATGATATCTTCTCTCCCTTCAGCTGGACCTGAAAGCCAGCGTCATGCTTCTGCTGCTCGGCGGAAGATCACCATTTTGGGTACCCGACTTGATAGCTTACAGACCCTCTTGACAAAGCTTCCCGGAAAGCAGCATGTGTAAGCTACTGTCAACTCACCTCCATCCCTCTTTAAGCTTGATAATACAGTATATGCTGTGCAGATTCTGTTTCCTGTAGTTGGCTTTCCATTTGTGCTGCTTTAACCTTGTTTCATTGGTACGTAGAGTTATATGTTGTGCACGCAGCAGTTCATTTTGATCATAAATTAGTCATCTAACCGTCGTTGTGGCGTCCTGTTGCAACTATTGGCGAACTAGTGTTTGATTGTTGCAATGTGGTTGTTGTATTGGTTCAACAAGTTAAACTTTGGAGGCTATGCTGGCAAAAGAAAGCTTCTAAATTTGTCAAACTTTCGTGGTTGTGGTGCACAGATCGGAAAAGGAAATGAACCGTCGGAGGGACATGATTGGGAACCTGAGGACGAAAGCCAACCAGATGGCTTCCTCGTTGAACATGACAAGCTTTGCTAACAGGGATAGTTTGTTAGGCACTGAAATAAAGCAATCTGACATCATGAGTCGAACAACTGGTTTGGACAACCATGGTCTCGTTACTTTTCAGAGGCAAGTTATGAGAGGTAATATAGTTGTTATCAATTTGTTATTGCATCTTGTTAGTTGTCATTTCGGATTTCCTTGCTTATAGTCCTTTTGGTTTTGGAACTCTAACGGAGATATTCCTTTGAAGCAGAGCAAGATGAGGGGCTTGAGAAGCTGGAAGAGACAGTAATAAGTACAAAACACATCGCCTTGGCAGTCAATGAAGAACTAGATCTTCACACCAGACTTATTGTATGCTCCTTTTATTTCTTTCATTCGCCATTTGTTCAGATTATGATGTCCTAGGCTTACAACTAAAATGTAGGAGAACTTGCATGTTAGTTTGGAAGAATCATGGATTTGCCCTTGAATTGCAGGATGACTTGGATGAACATGTGGATGTGACGGACTCTCGCTTAAGGGTAAGCAAGCTCATTTCTTTGGATGTGTTTCATTGGGAACTTTCCTATGACTTATTACCAGCTGATCATCCATACCCCAAGTTTACATCTGAGGTCATTCGGCATGGTTATAGCTTAGTTTATATATGGTTTGTGCCAAACATACCTAACCCTTTAAATGCTATTTCATTAGCGCCTTTTGCTATATTCCTTCCTGTTGATTCTGCAAAAGGCTTCTTCGGCGTTTAAATTTTCCAACTTTTTTCCAGAACTCTTGAGACTCTAGATTAGCTATACCCTGAACGTTTTAGCAGCAATGTAATGTTGTTACCCCTAGACTAGCAAAATTCAGACATACCAGCAACATTTGCATTTCATCCGACTGTTTTACATCGTGCTGGATCTTATTATCATTGCTGTGTTTGCCCGAAGTGTTGGTAAGGATACTTCTGATTCCTTTTCCTCAATTTTCTTGAAAACACAGCGAGTGCAGAAGCAATTGGGAGTATTGAACAAGCGGACCAAGGGCGGTTGCACCTGCCTGTGCATGCTTATGGCCGTAATTGGGATCGTGGCTCTGGTTGTGGTCATATATATGCTGATCAAGTACTTGTGATCGTGCCTGAAACCCCCCATTTTCACTATATCGGCCATTGCCTTGCCTTGTCTGCCTGCTGCTCTGCCCATTCTGCAACAAGTCGTTCTCCCCTCCTGTTTTTGCTGTACCTTCCCCTGTTGTTTGTTTTGAACCATTTTGTGTTTGGAAATTCTCTGCTTCCGCTCCTCTATGGTGGTGCTATGTTGATGTGGCAGAAGCTGTAATACCAAAAAAAAGAAAGAAATATCGGGAATCAACACTGTAAATGAAACCCAAGTGATTTGGCTCGAGTGTGTCGTTTGTCTGTTGGTCAACCAAAGCCAAACTACACGTTTTAATGTGAAATATATATGGTTGTCTTCATGTCTTGTCTGTGCTTCATTCATATTTGGCATTGCCACGTATCTACATTATTACAACTTTTTATTATTCACATCTTAACTTTATTCAAAGATTGTACAATCAAAGATTGTACAATCGTACCAAAAGTCGTAACGTAAAAGTTAACGGTAAGGTATTTTATACTGAAATTATCGTTTGATTATAGTTTAATCATTTCATACTATTAAAAATTACCTACCGATTAAAATTTCAATAAAATATCATTACTCGAACTTTTAAATTCGCCAATTCATTTAATCCAATCCCTAATCTATTAATCTATTTAATCCAAATTCACCAATGCAAAAGGAAGAGTCACATTATCCAAAATGAAACCGGAAGTTCCGGGAAAAGTTAATCTGCTAACTTGAAAATTCGTTAGCAGATACTAACTGATATCCAAAATACATGAACTAGTATCCAAGTACTAAAGTATCTAGAGATCACATACTAGTATTCAAAGTTTGCTAACTTATATCCACCACGAATCAACTATTATCTCAAATTCACAAACAAATATATAGACAACACAGAATAGTATCCATACAACACATAATTAGTATCCACATAACACATAAAAGTATCCAAATAACACATAAGAGTATCAATATTGAATACTAGTTGGTTGATTGTGGATATTAGTTGGTATCTGCTATCTGGATACTAGTTTGTGATGTTTTGAATACTAGTCTGTGCTATCTAGATACTCAGCAAACTTGGATACATGTTCATACATTTTGGATATTAGTTAGTATATACTAACAACTTATGCCGTTAGCGCAGAATAACTAGGCTGGGAAGTTCCACAAGTCCACAACTATAACCTTGGGCCCGATCCATCAACTTGGCAAGCCCAAACTGAAAATTATAAGCCTGAAAGAAAACGACGACGTTTCATTTTCAGAGTTTCGGACATCTCTTCCGCTCCAGTCTAATCTCCGTCGCCGAAAACCGCTACTCCATCCGCCGCCGCCGCTCTTCTCCTTCTCCCTCCAACATTCCCCAACTGTAACGTCCCCCTACAGTTCACGCGGTTGATAGTTGGCCTTCCAGCACAAAAACTTGAGCTTCTTCCCTTCATCCTCGAAACCACTTGTTTTCAACCGAGCTCCGAAATTCATACTGAACTGTGGCAGGGGAGACCGTAAACGAAGCGAGAATGAGCTCAGCAGGCATTCCAAAGGAAGCAATCGAAGTGATTGCACAGACCGTAGGAATTACGAATCTCTCCCCTGAGGTTTCGCTCGCACTTGCTCCTGATGCCGAGTACCGACTCCGTGAAATTATGCAGGTAGTACCCACCTCCCCAATTTCCCCCCTTTTGTTCTATTTTTCTGATGTTGTTCTTCTGATTCGATTCATTTTCAATGGTGGGGGCGGAAACGAATTTGATTTGAAGGAAGCAATCAAGTGCATGCGCCACGCTAGGAGAACCACTTTGACCGGCGACGATGTAGATAGCGCTCTTACCTTGAGAAACGTCGAGGTCTGTTCCCGGTCTCTTTTGGGTAGAAGATTTGGTCTTTTGTTGGTTAGTTTGTTTACCTTGCTTTTGCCTTTGCAGCCTGTATATGGGTTCACCTCCAAGGACTCTCTGCGATTCAAGAGAGCTGGTGGGTTTAAGGATCTTTACTACGTTGATGACAAGGTTGTGGAGTTTAAAGATGTAAGTAAACAACTTTGAGTTGTTGAGGGGAAGTTTTGAGAATGAGATTTTGCATTCTGATCTTGTTGTGTAACGTCTGTAGGTCATGGAATCGCCTTTACCGAAGCCTCCTCTGCACACTGCAGTTACTGCTCACTGGCTAGCGATTGAAGGAATTCAGCCCGCAATTCCTGAGAATCCTCCCGTTGAAGGTATGGCTGTATGCTCCTATGTTTGCAAGTGGATGCCGAATCATGGATCACTTTTAGTTTTGGAATCTATTCCTTGAGTTTTACTATTTGGGTGTTTCGCATTCTCCAGTCCAGTATTAGTTTGAAAGTTATTAATCCAAGTTGCATAATGTATAATGTATTTACTCTCAGAGGCTTTCTGATTTGATGTTTGGGTTTGGTTTCTCTTTTATTACAGTCCTAACAGCAACTGCTGATGCGAAAAGGTCAGAGTATAAGGAAGATGGTCTTCCTGTTGATATTAGATTACCCGTCAAGCATGTGCTATCAAGAGAACTTCAGGTTTACTGGACATGGAATTATGTTTCCTTCTATCTCTCTTATGTGGTAATTCTTTGCTTCTTTGAGGTGTAGGGAGGTTTTATATGATAAATCTCTGTTGGTTGCAAATGTAGCTGTACTTTGAAAAGATCAAGGTCCTAACCATGAGGAGGCCTGACTCGGTCATATTCAAGCAAGCATTACTGAGCTTGGCAACAGACTCAGGACTGCATGCTTTAGTGCCTTATTTCACACACTTTATTGCCGATGAGGTGAATGTGTTTCTTGATTTTAAGTCAGTGATACCTTTTAAACTTGACACTTGTCTTATTTGGAATATATGCTAAGCTGTATATTCTTTATGATGGCCATGTCAGGTTGCGAGGAATTTAAATAACTTCTCTCTTTTGTTTGCACTGATGCGCGTTACCCGAAGTCTGACCCAGAACTCCCACATTCATATAGAACCTTATGTAATTATACCATGAACTTCTTTTGTATTAGCTATTGCCTTCTGTTGATATGTGGTGAAGATTTTAATGACCTGAAGGTTGTTTTCCATTTCCTACTCTACTAACATGGCTTGTCTTTTCCCAGCTACACCAACTCCTGCCATCTATTCTTACCTGCTTGGTTGCCAGAAGATTGGGACACAGATTAACAGACAATCACTGGGAGTTAAGGAATTTCACAGCCAATCTTATTGGTTCAATATGCAAAACGTAAGGCAGCTGCAGGACATGCATTTTATTTAAGTCAAGTTCGGCTTTTTAATTGATTGCTAATAAAGAATGTGCACCCCAATATGATTTTTCCATAGCGCTTTAACCCACCAGTTCCTTTTTGCTTTGTGGTTATCTCTTTAGGTCTCCTTTCTGTTATTTTTCATGGATTCTTTTGATTTATCTTACTAGCTGATGCTTTTTTGGTTAGATTTGGGCATCTTTATCACAATCTCCAACCACGTATCACAAGGACCCTGGTTCATGCATTCCTCGACCCAACAAAGTCCTTGACTCAACATTATGGTGCAATACAAGGACTAGCAGCTCTTGGACCCAGTGTGGTATAAATTTTTTACTGTTTCTCTCCCTTTCCTTTAATTATAATTTGTCTTCACAGCTACTATTGATTTAGAGAAGTCACTGCCTAGTCCTTTTCATAGTCGTGTATCTAGTTTCTTTTACTCAGGTTGATGTAATTTTACCTCTTCTGTTATGATCTGTCATGGCTTTATGAGTTTTTAATGGGTTCTTCTCTCTATGTAGGTTCGACTGCTTATACTACCAAACCTAGAGCCATATTTGTTGCTTATTGAACCTGACATGCAACTTGAGAAGCAAAAGAATGAGGTGAAGAGGTATGAAGCTTGGCGTGTATATGGTGCATTGATGGTGAGTCCCTCATTCTGTTCAATATCTGTTATTGGTTTTTGCAAATGCACAGGATTTTGGCATCCTGATAACCTCGCTATAAACAAAACCATTCAGCGTGCAGCGGGTTTGTGCTTGCATGATCGTCTTAAGATCCTGCCCGGTTTACTGACTCCGCCAGCTCGACCAATCTTGAAGAGCAATGGCAAGATCGTGACAGGAATGGCAAGTATGTATTCAATGTGCACTGCAGCATCCTACATTCTCTTACACAATATTTATACCATTGCAGTAAAACTAAGAGAAACGTTTTCCTTACTCCGGCCTAAATCTTTTGCCTGATTATGTCTCGTGTGATGCATGTCAATAAACCCAAAGACAAACGCAAGGCAAGCAGTGACAGCTTGATGCAGCAGCAACCACCACTCAAGAAAATGACCACTGAGGCTGGTGCAGTGGGGATGATGTCAATGAATCCCATGCAAGGCGGCAGATTCCCCCCATCGCTAGTGGCCTCAGGGATGATGGGCGGTGTAACGTCAATTTCTCGACAGTTACCGGTTCTGGGTGAGAATATGGCAGGAGCCGTGAGGGATGCTGGAGCAAAAACATCATCCCTCGTCCTTGCTCAAGCATGGAAGGACGATATGAGTGCCGGCAATTTGCTGGCTTCACTCTTTGAGCTCTTTGGTGAAAGAATGTTCTCTTTCACCCCCAAACCTGAGTTGTCCTTTTTCTTGTGATTCTTTAGTGGAATTTTTATGTAAATTAATCGTCGTCTGAAACAGAATGACCAATTTACAATGTCACAGGTGTACTGGAAATGTGTAATAGAAATTTTGAATTGAAGATCAGAAGTCAATAATGGGTTTATTGACATGGTGTTTCTTAACCTCCTCTTTTAACCCATTTTCATCTCCATATGGATGTTATATCTTATTTACCAGAGCTTCAATTAAGTAACTAAAAGCATAGGAATAGAGATTATAATTTTACAACTCGAGGAGCTTCACAATCAATACACAGCAACATTGCAGGAGGAAACCTCTCCATCTCAAGAATAAACCAAAAGAGGGGAACAAAATGGCTAGAAAAGGGATCAAAAGAAGAGCTTCCTCGGAGAAGGCGTAGTGGAAGTTGCAGCAGCAGTAGCTTTGAGAGGAAGAGGGCTTTCTTTGCTAGTTTCTTGGCTCCCTGCTGCCATCTTGTCAAGAAGTTTGGCTGCCTTAGGATCTGTTAGAAGTGTCTTCTGAAACGACTGTGAGAAACCAGTTGCAATGATGGTCACATGAATCTCTCCATTGAAACGTTCGTCGACCACTGCACCAAATATTATGTTTGCAGATGGATCGGCCAAACTTGTTACCACCTGTGAAATCCAGAGTTGAGATATGAGCAAAAAGTCAAAAACCACTAATTGAAGCGGAAACAGCAGCAAAGAGGGGTGCGTACCTGGGACACTCTGTTCACTTCTTGTAGTGTTATGTCCTTCCCTCCAGTTATGTTGTAAACAACTCCGGTAGCTGATTGGATGGACGATCCCAACAATGGTGCTAAAGTTGCTTGCTCAGCTGCTTCTTCTGCTCTGTTTTTCCCAGAGGAAGCCCCAACTCCAAGCATTGCAGTACCAGAATTTTTCATCACGGCCTTTACATCAGCAAAGTCAACATTCACCAGCCCAGGTATCTGCAAGAACAGAAAAAAATAGGGATACCTTTAACTTGCTGTTTAGAGGCCCTCCATCAAATCATTACTGAAGACACCATCAGCTGTAGTCGTAAATCACAGGGTTCCCAAGACACAATAAATACAAAATTATTGGCTCAAGATAGACTATTGAATGTACTTCACGCAGAAGAATAGTTTAAAATTTAAACCACTAATACCATAACATTCATTCTTGTTTCTAATTTACAACCAACAGTTGAATACAACTAGAATCCAAAAAGAAGAAACTTTTTCTGTTACCTATTATCTCTTTCCTGATAAAAGGCCTTGAGATATTAAAAAAAAAACTCACTGTGATAATATCAGAGATTCCTTGAACGCCTTGGCGTAAGACATCATCAGCAAGAAGGAAAGCATCCTGAAGTGCAGTCTGCTCATCAGCTAAGTCAAGCAAGCGGTCGTTCGGTATCACTATCAGAGTATCAACATTCTTCTGTAATTTTTCTAGAGCTTCCACTGCCTGCAAGTGCAAATTCCACATTGCAACTACAAGTGCATTAAAACAGGAAGGAAGCATAAATCCATCGCCCAACAATCTGACAGACTTCATCAAGATGGTAAAAGCAGAAATAAAGAAATAGAACTTGCCTGCAGAGATCTTTTCCGCCCTTCAAAGCTAAAGGGGTATGTAACTACACCAACAGTGAGATAGCCTGCGTCCCTTGATATCTGAGCCACCACAGGAGCAGCACCAGATCCCGTGCCACCACCCATACCAGCTGTTATGAACACAAGATCGGACCCCTTCAGAGCATCGGCTATAGCTTCTTTTGACTCCTCAGCAGCCTGCTCTCCCAAGAGGGGATTCCCACCAGTACCTGCAAACACCTCCAGCAGTGAATCAACTCAAAGCAGCAAACAAACAACAAAACAATCATGAAGACAACTCAGATATCCATATACATATAATAGCAAGTATCGAACCTAGTCCGCGAGTCAAAAGCTCTCCAATTTGGATAGGGTTCTCGGCTGCAGATTGCAACAGAGCCTGAGAATCTGTGTTTATAGCATAGAAATCGACCCCCTGAATTCAAAACAAAAGCTTTCTCAGCTATGAACCCCTTCCAACCAAACAAGAAGCTGCCACAATGCAACCTTGATGGATGAACAAGTATGTGGTCAGTTGGTCACAAATTGCTTGCTGAACAATTGTCGTCACGTCTAAAAATTCAAAACTACATTCATTGGAAAAGAACAACCTTGCTAAGAGTAAGTTGATAAAAGAGCTTGCGGAACAATGCATAATTGTACTATCCAAAACGATATACAGCACATGAAGCGAAGCAAACTCAGAATTCCCACAACGACCCATATGAGAAAACTACCCACCAACGCAATTAACCCCAAGGACAGAAAAAGCAAACCCAAGAGTCTAGTCAACGTTTTAAGTTCATTTGAAGCAGAGGGAAAACTGTAAACTAGGACCAAAATTGAGAAGCTGAGTTACCTGCAAGCCGCTGCCAATCATGCGATTCACAGCATTGTTGCCGCCACCGCCGACGCCCACTACCTTTATCTTGGCATTGTCCATTTGAGAAAATGAGCAGCTCACATTCCCATATCTCGAACTCCATGACCTGAACGTAGTACTTCCCCTCCGCTTACTCCTATGCGCAGAACAGAGCCTCTGCTGAGGCAGGCACACGGCGGAGAAGGACGAAGAAGAGGTGTTGGGTTTCGCCAGCTGCAGCTGGAACTGCAGTGTCGCCATTTCTCTGGTTGTGTACGTGCTTGTGGCGTTGAGTGAGGGAGACTTGATGGAGAACAGAGGTTTTTAGGGTTTTACGAGATACGCTTACACTTCAACAAACTCGAGTCGAATTTTCTCAAAAACAATTTCTTTCATTTCTTCCATTTTCCCGTCACTTTCTGGTTGTAAACATCCGATATTGTCTCTCATAGAGATTGGGAGTAGGGATGGCAACAAAACCCGAACCCACGGGTACCCGCCCGACCCAACCCGGTCAACGCGGGTAAAATCCGTGTTGACGGGTTTTGGGCCGGGTTTGGGTTTAAACCCGTTCACTATTCAACGGGTTGGGTTGGGTTTGGGTTTAGGTAAATCCGGCCCGTGGGTACCCGTCCACCCATATAATTGATTTTTTTGGTATATTTAATATTCTCAACAACTAATTTTATTTATGTTTGTGGAGACATGTCTAATTTCTTCTTTTTAATTGTGTAGAATGAAGTTGATGTTATGGAGTGGAGAGTAAATAAACTTAATTGAAAGAAAGAAGCTTTCAATTAAACATGTTATTTATGGAAAATTTGTGATTTGCTTCAATTTTTTTGAGTTTTCTAGATTGGTGTTGAACAATTTGTATAGTTAATTTGTGATTTGCTTGAATTTTCTAGAATGGTGTTTTATATATGGATAATTTGTATTGAGAGATTGATATTTGACTTTAATTTTGATAAGAACTTGTAATTATAAATTTTTTACGACAAAACCCGTGGGTACCCATGAACCCGCGGATACCCAACGGGTTGGGTTGGGTTTGAGTTTTTCAAACCCAGTGGGTTTTACCCCGGGTTTTTTTCAAAGATAAACCCATGGGTTTGGGTTTGGGTTTGGCAAAACCCGACCCATTGCCATCCCTAATTGGGAGGGACCCAACCAGTTTGCCCTTGGCTTAATACGACGCCGTTATTTGCTGCAGATCTTTCTGCGATCTGTAAGTGAAAGCTCCGATTTAGAGCTTCTGCTTTCTGTGGCCAGCAGTAGGAAGGTTTTGTTCAAACAAAAAGTATTGGAGAGCTCAATCCATGATTGGTCGAGCCAACGGAAAACAACAAACACCACCTATGAAAAGTTAACAATGGAAGAGAACTCTGGATCGTAAACCAGGTGAAAGAACTGATCTTGCAAGAATTCATCTTTCTGGGCAGTATTTCATTATTGAACCCCAAAATTCATCTCTAGGCTCATATTTGTCTGATAGAATCGTTTTGTTTACGTGCTACATGTCCCTTTTAAGAATTTGAATGAGAAGACAGAACCACCAAAGAACCAGTTCCAAGTTACATAGTGATAACAAACTACACACAGATCCCAAAATATGGAGACAGCAAACGATCCTTGAAAGGCCAACCCTAAACTCAGATGTCGCTCCGGCCACAGACTGCACATATAATAATCGAATAACATCCTCGGCTGGCTGGCTTCTTCATCTGCGTGGGTGTTTCTACTCCCCTTCGCTTAGGATTGGGACGATGAGCGGTTTCATCTGTGCAAGATATACAATAGCCCACCTGCCCATAAAACAGACAGCAGTGCAGTGAGGTTGATATCGTGTGAAGGAACATCATGAGTTCAGCCAGGAAACCTTTCTTTTGGTAAGAAGTTCAGCCAAAAAACTTAACAGCAGAATAAGCAAACTTTCAGAAGAAAATTTAAAAAGGGTCATTAACCATGATAACTCATGACCAAGTTGGCGCAGGAATTTGGCAAACAACAGGGTACAGTATCAGGCAAAGAGACATGAAAGCACCAGTATAATGTCTTAGGTGATACTTGACTTAATATCATCGAATAGCACCCAGGTCACCATTGACATTTCCAATACTCGTGTGTAGATACCACTACCTTCTACATTAAATACAGTTCCATGATTACCATGATTGAGAAACCCAAGTGGTGGTCCTTTTAATCCGCTTGCCATAGAGCAGCTAGATCTTACTACCTGCAAACTCATTTTGCTCTTGCTGAGACACTAATGACCCAGTAAACTTATATAATATATACTGAAAGCTAATTTCTTAATTGGAAGAAGCAGGAGACCACAAGAACTACATAGTTGCTGAATTTGGTTTCTGCTAACTACTTATCAGCGGGAGTATGGTACAGGTTTCACTACAAACTTGTATCTGGCTCTGCATGTTGTCAGCTTCAAGTGATATCCCCCCATGTTCTCAAACAGTATTTCATGGGGTTGTATAGGATCTAAACTGTGGTCGAAGGTGAGATAATAACTAGAACCCCGTAAATGCGCATAATTTGCAGTCTGGATCATGATTCAGCAATAGGGTTCTAGAATACTCTCTAATATATATCATCTTATATCCTAAAGACGGACACATGGATGCAGCTTGAGGAAACAAAAGCCGCGTGCAAGTTATCCAACCACCTTTGTTGAGGAAAGACAAAAGAAATACAGTTGAAATCAAATGAATTGAAGGAATAAAGTAGAAACAGAACTTACATCATCCAGCAGCTAACTGTTGCTGTTATAACCAATGTCAAATGCAATCTGGAGCAGAAGACCAAGGTTAGCTATATTGAACTTGAGAATAAAAGGTATGGTATGTTGTACAAAGAGATGACCAAGAGAATCCACTACATCACAAGATCATTCGAGTAGTAACTTAACTTTCCTGGTAAAATTTGAAAACAAATGTAACCAAATTCATAAGAGATTGCTAGTACGCAAAGAGAAAGTTCACACTACACAAAATATCTATCAAGATGGCAAAATACACGTGGACCTATCATGAACAGGGGTGCAGACATTAATGGCAAGAGTAACACCAATCTAGGAATCTGCATCTATATAACTCAGGCAACAAGACCATATATCTAACAATCAGTGACGATGACTATCAAATGAGCAAACTACCAAAAAGGAATGCAAAAATGGAAAATGAGTAAACATGCAACGCCACTCGTAGCAACACTGAACATGATGGACGAAGTAGCGAGCATGTAAAATGCTCCTGAAGGCAGGAAGTAAAACTAGCAAACACATAGCTTTGCTTCACTGCTGGTAGTAGAACAATACACAAATCAGATACACAGCTGTATTACTACACAAGGCAGGCACTTGTTAGTTCCTAGGACAAAACAAAGACATCCACCAAGACCAAAACAGAAGCCCTTCCTGTACCAGACTTACTTGGGGCACCTTGAATTACATGACAATGCATACTCAACACTTCCCAAATGGATCTAAATTCAAATACTCCCTCTCCCAAATCCCAACACAAACAACAATTTACTTGATCAATGAAGAGAGCTACACCTCCAGATCCACAATCCTAACCCAGGCAGGAAATACTCGGCATAACAAGTCAGCAAAAGGGAGGAAAGCATACAAATTGGTGGAGGGTCCTCTGTTACAGCAGATTCTGGTGCAGAGCGATGCGATTATCCCCACCACTACGAAAATCAGCGTGGTTACCAGAAACCCCATCTCTACGTGGCTGTGAATTCGATCGCGATTCCTGAAAAAACAACCACGATGTGTTAAATAAGCTCAAAGTAGAGACCTTTCGCGATCGCAACGGGCGCCAGACTAAAATTGGCCGAGAGATTGAGAAGAGGAGGTCAGGCCAATCCCGTTTGGTTTCGCCGAGAAAAGATGCAGAAGGGCAAATTGCAACGATAGTGAGAAAAGCTGTACCTGGAATTGGCGAATCTGTTGCTGATGCTTGATCTGTTCGTTAACGTCTGGTTCTCTTCCTGTGGCAAGAACAAGATCCAAGTGACCAAGTTTACTCCTCTTCCTTCCTTCCGACCATCGGTTCGACTTGATTTCGGATGATAAGAAGCTTGGGCCTACACATGGCTTCATTATTTCAGGAAAGGCCCACCAGTAACTCATTGATATGAATCAGCCCAAGCCCAATAAAACTCCAAGGGTGGTTTAGTGTTTGGAACTTTTGAAAAATGGAAGATTGGTGATGGATTTTCATGGTGGGATGTGTTGCATATGGTAAGAGAGAAAGCATGACTAGGCGTGACGGATAATGTGCATCAGGTATGATTTGATATTCTATGTTCGTAAATCGATCACTTTTTAGCAAAGTTTCTTAGTTTCGTGTTAGAAATAGTTGTGTCCATTTGGTGACGAGAAAGACACACTGGTGCATCATGCTAGTTTGGCAGGCTTTGGTTTTCCTGTCTATAAATTGTTAGTAAATCTGAGACAGAGACTATGGTAACAATGTCGTCATAAAATACATAAATCAAGCATTCATCAGAATTCCTCTGCAGTTTAGCAGCATCTATTTCATAGTCTTTCATTCCGGCCATTCCTTTACATCAAACTCTGGAAGAAGAAGAAAGGGTTACTTGCTGCTACAAGACAGGCATCCAATTCATGGAATTGGTGATGAAGAAAAGGGAAGCAAGAAGTGGGCAGGGACAATGGCAGCAAATATGTAAGCAAGTACTCGATGAATTAGATTAGATCGTTGAACATACAGCATCGACTTTCCCAGCAGCTCAGAGTTAAAACTGGAAGACCCAAAAAAAGAAAAGAAATTGATTAAAAAAATTGTGAATTGAAAAGCTGTAATGGATCATCAAAAGAAGCTGGATTGATTGGTCCTTTCTCTTCTTCTCCTTGTTTCATTTTCTGGGTAATTTTTCAATTTTATGCTGCTCTTTTTGCAAGTGGGAGGGTTGTGTGAGCACCACTTCCCAGATTTTCCCTTCCATCAGAATCTGAACTGGGGTTCAACATCCATTGCCCAGGCAAACTTTGCCAGAAGCGACTTGTTGAATATCTGCAGCAATGGCGAATGAAGTTTTCATCACATTCTCATTCACACACCAAAGGCTTTTTGACCTTCAACCTCACTGTTCAGGGTCAGGTTTCGGAATTTACCTTCTCAATGGGAACTTCATGCCTCTTGCACCATGCAACTGTGATCCTAGGATCCAGGTAGTTGATTTTGGAGGTGCCGAGTGCCACGGTTTTCAGATCCTCTTTTGTCGTCATATCCATTTCGTACTTCTCAATCTTTTGGTTGGCAGATGCTATCTTTTTCGCTATGCTGCCACACAAAGGAAGTGTCAGTTAGCCAACAGCTCAACAAACAGTGGAAGACAATCAATCAATCAAAGGATGGCTGATAATTACGCTTCGGGACTCAAGTTCCTCTTTTGCTTTCCATCTGCTCCCTTGAGAGGTGACTTTCCCTTCTTGGCCCTCTCCAAATCAACTTTCAGCTCTTTCAGTTCTTGCTGCAAAGTCATTATTGTGAAATCAGCTCACAAAGACAGAAAGAGGGGATAGAAACCAATGCGTGGAACTCACAAACCCTCCAGAACATATACAGGGTGTGTTGTCAAATGTCAACAAAGACACTTAAATTTATTGTCAGCTGGGTCTCCACAAGCATGAACTACCTTGGCAGTCTCAATCCTCTCAGTCAACCTCAACATTTGCGAATCGTGAGTCTTTGAGACAGTACGCTGATGATTGCAGATGATTGCTACCTGCAAGAAAACAGAGAAATTACAGAAAGACAATTGGGATAACTGAACACAATTACAGATGATTCCAACTTGCATTACCTGCTTGTTTGCTTTTTGATAAACAACAACCTTCTCTGCAACATCACCATCTTCTGTTTCTTCATACAACTGTCCAGATTAGAGAACCCAGAAAATAAATTAATTCCGTGATTGAATAAAAAACATCTGATGTAGTTGCTAAAACTTCATCAGTGCAAAATTGTATATTTGAGTGTCATAAGATATACATAAAAATAATATCCGAGTTGATCAACCAATCCAATAGAATAAGCTAAGAGATCAATGAATAAGATATTACATAACTTGTAATGCAACTTACTTGTTGATCCAATGTGATTGAAGCATTATAGGTACGGAACACTTTTGCTGTAAGCCCAGGCATGAGTTCCTTCAAGTGGGCATTCAGTTTACTTGTATCCAGCTCGTCGAAAAGGAGATCATTTTCCCCTTTTCCTGGGGTAAAGGAATAATAAATCACATTACAACAAAATGATATTCCACTTAACTACAGTCAAAGTGGACAACTATATTCTTACCAGCTTGGAACTTCCCAATTGCTTTGAACACAGGAAGCTCAACTTCAACCGTGTTCTCATAACGAATTGAATCTTTACCAAGAAAGTCAAACTACATAAGATGGAAAACACCCCCACGTCACAATCACTACTAGCTAAAAAGGGGCACATGAAAACATCGCATAGTTGAGCTCACGCAAAAACATAACAAAACAATTCATTCACAGTTAATGGGATTTGTTAACTTTGTGGCTTGCAGTACTGAAAAGATATGAATGAAGCTTCTAGCACGAACAAGGAAAAGTATATCATTCATGAATATCGTTTTGACTCGGCTCAACTCGAAAGTCAAAATATAAAGCATAACAACAAAATCTTATATTCGCTCTGCTGCACCTTTATCATATTGGGAGGGATGCACTCTACGTTGGATACTTTTAATGTACAGCAACCGACAGTATCAGCTTCTTCTTCACCATCCTGCAGAAGGTCAGTCATTTGGCATAAATTCATTCTAGATTTTCAACAGAGATGGTATTTAAAGGCTATTAAGGTAAAAGACTGTTCAAGGTTCTACAATATGGAAGCACCCAACTAAACATAAACACCATCAGGCGTCATTCTTAAATGCGACATGAAGAAACAAAAGGCGGTCGCATTAGGGAACAAGATAAAGGAAAGACAACTCCCAGGGCACTTATTCTGCCAACAGTATTAAGAACATCAAACTCCCCAGGTGCTTGAACTGTTGTCTGATAAATGTGCCAGATCTGATTTATCAGCCTACCCTCTAAGCATGAGATAGTCAGGATCCATGTGGCCATTTGCCAGCATCTCTATGGCCTTTCAGCCTTTTACTAAGGCCACATTGGAACCAATCGTTGCGAAGTCATCAATCTTCCCATTACATGCACTTAGGATGATAAACGGCAGCAGAAACAAAGTAACATTTGCGTAGATTGGGCACATTATATGCCATATTAATCGCTTATACAGATTCCAGAAGTCGTACCTGGAATACAGGAGATTAAGGGGAAAACGAAGAAAGAAGAGAGAAAATAGATGAGGATGTTTGGAAAGAAGCTACTCAATTTACCTTCTCATTACCCGCCCTTAGAGCTAGCTTATCAATAAGATAGGTCGCAACTGCTATTTGTTGTTTTACTATATCCTTACTATTGAAATCCCTCGTGTAAGCTGCCCTGATGTTGTGTATGTAGTCCTGCACCAATATACAGTTAAGATTCGGTGCTTCAAATATCATACTATTGTAAGATGCAAGCAGGTGAATATATAAGATAAGTATGACCACACCTTCAGCATCCTAGCCTTCTCATATTTCTCCTTGTCACTTTGCCCTTTTAACGAACTGCTGGCTGCCAAGAACACATACTTGAATTCTTTGGGGTTGATAGGATCATTCCAGAAAGCCAACCATGTAACGGTGTTATCATGTTTTATCTCTTTCCAGCTGCCAGTTTAAATTTGAATATAAGTAAACATTTTGAGCCCATACTTCGGCACGTACTGCCAAGTGCAAACGCAGCCACCCAACCGACAAGAAAACTCAGCTTGTAACTGACTATGGGAGAAGCTAACCTTTCACCAGCAATTGGACATTCTGGAACAGGAGCATCCTTCCCTATGTTTATGGTGATATCCCTAGGTCGGATGCGTCTCTTGAGCTTTCCCATCTGAAAATTACACGATGGATTTGAAGTAAATATGCATTTCAGCCAGCAGATATATGGTAATGCCTCTACGAATCTCAATTCACACTATAGGTATCAACAAATAACCTTAGGATGCTCTCCACGGCCTCGAAACAAACCAGGTGGCTCGACTCTAAAGTTCCCAACCTGAGATTTCACAATGATCAGAATCATGAAATACATGAAAGAATTGGCAAATTCAAAATTAAGACAATAAAAACTAAGTTCGTGAAATTTTTTACTTTTTCCTTAACACCGTCCACTATAGCCCACATATACTTCTCCTCTTGCTGCAATTTTTGTTCTTTGACTGCCTTCTTCTCCTACACAAGTAGCAAAACTTTTTAGCATCAGTGGTAACACAAAGGGAAATATTAACAGTCAAGAGGACCTGGCAGAAACGGGCTGCAGACATTAATACCAAACATCAAAGCAACCAAAACGTAAGATGAAAAGCAACTCATTGTCCTATAAAAGGAAGGGTGTAGGAGGCCAGATTCCTATGCATGAACTAAAGGCAATCACAATGGTCTTGTCTCATTGAAGCTGGGGCAAAGTGAAGTTTGGATCTTCACATGGTGCAATTAGCAAACCACTAACCAAATCCTTGCTTGTTTGAGGAAAGCGGCCATGCACTATGAGAAGCAGCAGAGAAAAACAAAAAAAAAATGACCCTACAAATTCGGAACTTGATGGACAAAAGAAGAGAAGTTTTATTAGCTCACAGACCACAGTTAGAATATTAGATTTGTCAATGTCAGAAAATGTCTGTGTGTTTCAGTTGATATCTTACTGCGAATAGAGTTCTTGACAACCAAACAACTTACTTCTGTACTCATTTGTTTTTTCTTCTCTTTCTCCTGCTGATGCCAATCATATATTGGTGAAAAATCACAATCATCCAACTTCTGTATTACATGGTTCCTCCCTAGTATCCTACGCCAATCATTCCAGAAGTTATCAAGGAACTTTGGTTTTTGCATGTAGTCGGTATCTTTCATCACCGCAAACATAGTGGCAACCTGCACATATGAAAGCTCAATGTGAAACTAACAGCACACACTACAAATAAGGAAAGCTCAAAATTTATAAAGATGTAGACAAAAAGTGAGAGGCACCTCTTCTTGTTCTGGAGTTAAATCAACTGGCTTCCCCTTGTAAAGTATCTTAATACCATGAGGCTGGTATGGAGGAGGAAAAATTACACCGTTGTGAACCAAGGTAGTCCATTTTCTCTGGCCATCAGTAGAACCGGGGGTAACTTTTGTTGACTTGATAAACTTCGAATTTTTCATTTGTTTTGCGTTCTTCATATTGGCCTTCTTGAACGAAGAAGAGACCACTTTGGTTGCTTTTGGGTTTGCAGACGATGGTTTTCTTTCTGACATCGTTGCCTTCTTGATCCTGTGGGAGATCGGAAGATCGTCATCATCGTCAGCTTTCACCTCTGCTTTAACTGTCGTAGGTTTGACTTGTGTGGTGGAAGACGGAACAGAAAGCTTTGGCTTTTTTACAGAGGATTGTTGCGAAGAACTACTCTTCTCCATAGGCCTCTTGTTTGGCACAACCGGAGTTTTCATCTTGTTCGCATTCGAAGTTGAGCTGCCATTCTGCTGAAGTTTTGATGCTAAAGGTTTCTTTTCACTCGAATGGTTAGGTTTAGCTGACATCCTTGAGGCCAAAGGGAGATCATCATCATCATCAGAGTCTTCCTTTTTCACATGACTGGGACCACCAACTTCTTTCTTAGCATTGTTGGCAGCTCCCTTCAATCTGAAATTCAAGGGCTTATCATCCTCAGAATCCTCATCATCGACCTGAGCCTTGTTCTCAGATTTGACAGACTTAACCTCCACCTTGACAGCAGGCGAAGCATTCTGCTTAGGCATTTGCCTTGTCTCCGAGGACATTGGCGATTTAGAATTTGTTACAGGAGACCGCAATGGAGAAGCCTTTATAGAAGAAGAAGTTGAGGCTCTAGGGCTCCCTATGGGAGACTTAACCGGGGGTGACCTGGAAGAAGCAACTGGAGCTTTATTCCTCTGCCCATTTGAGCTTTGGCCATTGGCATTTTGAGATGAAGACGGCATCTTCTTAGCTTCAGCATTTAATTGGCTTTGCCTAGATGCTGAGTTGCCACCCCTCCTAAAAACTAATGGGGCATCATCATCATCCATATCATCCATGACTGGCCTCGCAGGTGCTTGAACAGCCATCACCACCCAGATTCGAGCTGTATTTGCACAGATACTAAATCAATATCCCACAAAAGTTCAAAAACTCAAAACCCATATCCAAGAATCCACAACTACCATTCAACCATCAAATTGCCTGTTAAAGCACGGGTAACGGAAGAAACGAATGCATCAAATTGAAAACTCTTTTCACTAGACCCAAAACGCCTTTCACTTCAACAACACCAAAAACAATCAAAACTCTAAAGAATTACAAATAGAGAGCTCGAGGTCAAACAGATAAACTAAAACTAAAAGGGAGCAGCAAAAATTGGCAGCCGAATTAGGGCTCCTACAGTGGCCCGATTCAGTAACCAAATAGGGCGCGGCATTCAAAATTGAGCGCGGCTTTACATAAACGCCCGCCGCTAACAAAGCGAACGAGAAACTCGTGCATGCTCTACTGATAGATGACGATAAGAATCAGTGAGAAAAGGAGCTGGAGAGGCTATATCAGCTGCTGGGAACCATGGGGCGGGAGGGGAGGAAGTAGATAAATGGAAGACGCGATATAGGGCTTGACATTCAGGATAAAGTTCGAATAAACTAGTTGAACGAGGAGAAGAAGAAGAAGAAGTACGAAATTTTTTGTTGGTTTTGGGGGGGAAGGAAGGGAAAGAGAAGCAGGAAAACGGACCTCAGGCGCCGGCGAAGATCGAGGGCGGCGGAGGAGGAGGAGGAGGCGGTGGCGGAGCAGATCGACTTCGTTTTTTTGTGTTCGTTTTCTTCTGTGTGTAATTTGTCAAATTTTCTCCACTTTTTTTCCTTCTTCTGAGTCCGCTCTCTCTCTCTCTCTCTCTTCCCTGATTCTCCCTCGCTCTGGCACTTTTTTTATGGTTGTTCGATGGCTCCGTTTTGTGTTGGATTTTGCAGGTTTATATTTCTTGGTTCTACTGTGTACATATTTATTTGTCTTTCTTTCTTTCTGCGAGAGGAAGATGGAAATGGAAGCCATTAAGCCAAGCAACCGATAAAGCAAAAAAAAGCCAGAAGCAGACCAGACCAGCGTGCCTGTTTCTTTCGCAACTGGGCCTTTTGATTCTTGGGCCATCCTTCTCAGGCCTCCCTGCTTTTAGGAGTTCGCTTTCTTTCGGCCCAGGGAGTCTCGGAGCTTTTTGTCGGGTTTGTTGGTAACCTTTGGGCCAAGGTTGCCGACTCGTCGGTGGACCAATTTGATCCCAATTCGGTGAGAAAAACGGACCGTACACACCCACTGGGTCAACACGCTGCTAGGTTATCAGGTTGGAAGTATCACACAATGTTGTTTTTTTTTTCCTTCAGTTTGTGAAATGCGCATATTTTCCTGTTTTCCTTTTCGTCTAACCTTACATTTGGAATTCTAAATTGAATATTGATGTTATTATATAAGTGTATGAATTTTTACTATATGTTGAATCCAAGTACGACATGTTATTTTGGTGTAATGTTATATATGTTACTACGCATATGTTATAAGAAATCTGATATAGTTTATAAATGTATGAACAATATAATGACTTTTTCACATATCGAGAGTTAAATCGGGTTAAAGCAATTGAACCACTAACCCTCAACCCACTTGCTCGACCGGACCAACGGACTATACCGGGTTAACAACATTCTCGTGTTCTTCGAGAAAGAATCACATTGTATAATGGTTGTGTACTTGTGTTAGTTTATGTTGATGCATATTTTTTTGTTGTACTTGCGGTTCAACGGTTAAATATCGCCTACCGATTTCGCTTTTTACAGCGAGGTTTTCTCGTCAAAATATATGATACTGTTTTGTTATTTAGCCAACCCGTCTGCAACAACCGGACAAAAAAATTCGAGACCTTGACCTTGTAGACTCCGATCATGGCGTACCAGTTACCACCAGACCATTTTCAAAACCCAAATCCCCGTAACTCGAAACCAACCAGAAATTCTGAAGAAGCGGAATGGAACCAGCGAAATCCGTCAGCCTTGGCAGCTCCCTCCTCGTGCCTTCCGTCCAGGACTTGATCAAGACCCAACTCGGCGTCGTCCCGTCCAGATACTTACGCCCTGATCAAGACCAACCCATCGTTTTCGACGCCGATGTTCCGATTGTTGATTTGGAGAAGCTGATCGATGAAGCCACCATGGATTCCGAGCTCGCGGTCCTTCACTCCGCCTGTAAAGATTGGGGCTTTTTCCAGGTTTTCAACCAAACCCCTTTCACTCCTTCACACTTCCTTCGATCAAATTTGTTATTGTTGAGAATTTGCTTTTCATCAAAGAATGGAACATGGGGATCGAGTTTGGTTCTTTCCTTCAATTTCTGGAACTCGAACTGGGTATGCAGAGTTGGGTCCATCCCCTTCATTATCGCTTACTAGAAAGTTAGTTTCTTCAGCGGAAGAACTTTTTTCTGATTGCCCATGGTTTTGTTCTTGGAAACCCAGAATTGGAATCACTGATAAAAGCACCACAAGTGATTGTAGAGAAGGGTTGTATTTGTATAATCAAATCCATTCTACCAATTCAGTGAATTTGCCCCAATGTAAAAAGAGAAAGAAAACCCTCCAGGAGACTGTTGTGATGAAATTTTGATGGATTCTATTGTGCAGTTGGTAAACCATGGAGTGAGCCCTGCCCTGTTGGAGAACATGAAGACCCAAGTCCAGGAATTCTTCAACCTCCCAATGGAAGAAAAGCAGAAGTTCTGGCAATCTCCAGGAGATGTGGAAGGTTTCGGACATTTATTCGTTGTATCGGAAGAGCAGAAGCTCGATTGGGCCGACCTCTTCTTCCTCGTCACTCAGCCTCCCGACCTTAGAAAGCCTCACTTGCTCCCAAAGCTTCCCCTTCCATTCAGGTCTCATACATCAGTCCCCTGCAATTTTCATTGTTAAGAGACTAGGAATTGAAGTACTCACATGTCTATGTCATACATTTTTCTGGTCTCTTTCGACAGAGACACATTGGAGAACTACTCCCTCGAGGTAAGGAACCTCGCAGCCGAAGTACTGGACCAAATGGCCAAAGCCCTAAAGATGAAACCAGAGGAAATGAAGGACATCTTCTCAGGGAACATAAGGCAGGCAATGAGGACCAACTACTACCCTCCATGCCCGGAGCCTGACAAAGTGATCGGCCTGACACCTCACTCCGACAGCACCGGCCTCACGATCCTCTTACAAGTGAATGAAGTTGAAGGCTTGCAGATCAAGAAAGACGGGAGTTGGGTGCCGGTCAAGGTCCTTCCCAATGCGTTTGTGGTCAATGTGGGCGACATCGTTGAGATCATAACGAATGGGGTGTACCGCAGCATCGAGCATCGTGCGACGGTGAACTCGGAGAAGGAGAGGCTGTCGATTGCTAGTTTCCATTCTCCTAGGTTTGATGGGGAGATTTACCCAGCGCCGAGCTTGGTGTGTGGAGAGTCGCCGGCACTGTTCAGGAATGTGAGCGTGAAGGAGTACCTGAAGGGGCTGTTCTCTCGTGAGCTTCAGGGGAAGTCTTACCTCGATACATTGAGAATCTGATGAATGATGATGTGTGGAAAAGGTTCCATGTAAAGTGTTATTTTGGGTTTGCTTGCTCTGGTTGTACTTGTAAATGTTCAACAGAAAACAGAAGAATCTGACGGGAGTCGTGAAATAAACGGAGAAACATAAAACAATTTGATAGTAATACGAAAAAATACGTACGTTCATATGTATGCGTTGCGTATTAAACAGAGCATTTACGAATTTGCCACCTCGTTTTTAATCATTGCGGATCACATAACCCATGATTCGACGAATTGAGCTCCCTTATGAACACATTCTCATAAATGAAGCATTTTAGCAAAATCGGGAAAATTGGAGTACCAAAAGAGAAACTTTCATTTAATTAAATCCCTAATCCTTCCCCCTTCCGCCCTTCGTCTTGCCGTGTCTTAAAAAGTTAAACCCTTTTCTCCTCTCTCGGGGTCTCCCCCGCCATCTTTGAAGAGCGCCAGACTTAGAGGCGCTTCTCTCCCGTTTGGCGGCTGCGCAGTGGAAAACGAGCGAATTTCAACGAGCATGGCGGGTAGTTTTCTCCGCACTGATTCGCAGTTGATCGTTGCAGAACTTAAGCGAAAGGACAGGCTGCTGAAGCTCAAGCGAAGGTTGCCCAATTTCTCTCTTTACTGTTCATCTTCTTGTTTCCTCTGTTCTATCTCTCTTGTGAATGAAGCATTGGAGTGTGGCTATTGGAACTAGGAAGCTTTTGGCAAGTCTTGGGAAGTTTTTCATTTTTTCCATTGGCATGTCACCGTGTTTGGAGAGCTACGTCTTTCTCTTTACCAAGAATTTTAGATTCTTGGCTCTTTAACCACTTGTAGTTTCTATGGCGTTTGTGTCTTCACAAGTTATTTTGAAGGAATTAACTCTTGTAATATTCACCATGTGATGCTTTCCGGGCAGGTGGCTGATAGGAGCGCCATTGTCAAATCTAAACTGGAGAGACTTTTAAATAACGAGTAAGTACTTGCTTATACCCTGGCTCCATACATGATGCTGTGTTTGGTGTTTACTGAACAATAGTTCTTGCGATCTTTCCAGGTGCCTGCCTGAGTCTATGCTTAGGGAAGATGATGTAAGTTATTCCCTTCAACAATGTCTACTTCTAATATAAAAATGCACTTTCATAAGCCTTCACCACTAGGACTGTTTCATCTGATCTGGAAGTCTATAATTTGTTCGGTTTACCAACTATGTAGTGAACTTGAAAGCCTATCCATTATAAATTAGTTTCAGCCATCTTGATTTTTCCGTGCATAGTAATCACAATAGATGCTCAAAGCATCCCAGCTCACCAGGATGCTAAATTGCATTTAGATTCTGGAATTTCGATGACGAAATTACACGGTTTCTTGTGTTCGCTTAAGAGACTGGTTTGCAAGAGTTCTTAAAAGGTGAAACACAATCACACTGCAACATAGTCTGCTTCCTATGAGTCTCGACCAATTAAATGACCATGAATAGTGGTGATATAAGGGTTGCTTATATGTCAGTCATGGTTTTTATTCCTATTGCTTTTGTAGATTCGTAAACAGGTACAACATGGTTGACAATTTTCATTTCTTTTACACAGGTATTTTATGATAGTGTTAAAACGTTTGTTGAACAAGCATTTGGAGTACACCATGTTGAAAGAGAGGTCAAAACAACTTGTCAGTTTCTCAACGTGAACAACATCGAAGGCATCTTGTTGTCTTGTCTTGATTCTTTGACCACTAAAGGTCTTTACCTTGTTTCTATGTTCCTTACAAAAGGTGTGCAGAAGTTTGAAAAGACTCGGAAAAAAATGAGAAATGTTATCCAGAAATCTATTCCAGGATTTCTTAGGAATCTGAATAGCAAGGATGACAAAGTATAAATTTTTACCAAGTTATGTCAGCTTCTTACTGACCGAGAGAATATTAGGCAGGAGTGCTGTTCACATTACTTTCAATGGAATGTTGCTGCAATAAAACTTTTGGATAGACTAAAGGACTTGCCAACTGAAGCCCTGTTTGCTATGCGCAGGAAACTAAGAGGGTTACCGGCAGAATTACCTTGTTTGCAGAAAAGGAGACATGGTTGGAGTCGAGATACCCTGATTTGTAAGGTTAAGAGAACCATTAGGAAGATGCTATCAGAACTTGTTGGGAGTGGAAGGCATAGCTTCCAGGAACCTTTAACCATGGCCCTAGCAGTTGCAGGTTTATCACTAAAGCTGAAAAGATGTCCTGGTTCTTGCATGACTGACTTCATAAAATTTTCACCAGAAATAGAACTGTTACAGACAGAAATCATAAAGGCTATTTGGTTACTGGAAACGAAGGTCAGAATGCCAGAGCTTCAAGCCTTGCAACATCTGTTGGATCCATGTGCTAATATCCCAGCACGGTCTTTACGAACAGCAATGAAGAAATTATTCACCGAGTATCTTTTTGACTGCAATGAGTTAGACTTCATTCCCAAGGGGTTTCTGAAAGCTCTAAATCTTACAAATAGGAGCTCTCGAGTTTCACCCGATGGCTACTTGATGACCCATGTTATTGAAGAGGAGGCAGAATCTATCATAAGTGTAAGTTCTGATATAAAGCAACTTGTTTGGGATTTAATTCCTGGCTATGGGCTTGCTGAGAATTTTGGCGATGCATATGCGGAAGAGCCATGTGGAAGTGAAGATGATGATTGTGGTGATGTGTCTCCCAAGCAGCAAGAATTCGACTCCCCAAGTTTCAGATTTGGTTCTATGTACTCAGAGAACGATGAAGAGAGCTTTGCAGAATATACACCTTTAGACGTTGAGCTAGACATACCTAACCCTGATCAGGAAGGTCAGAGTCTTCCTAGTACACATAATGACTGCAAGATTGGCAACCCTTCTCTCAGCATGGTTTTAAAAGTCGAGTGTGATATGAAAGCTGAATCTTATCAGAGTAATGCAAATAGTCTAAGAAACGCATCAGGTTTCCACGAATTAAACCTTTGCTCTAGAGGGGAAGAATCTGGTCCTAGCAATCAGACTCTTTGTAACAATTTGTACCTTGATGTCCAAGAAGCTTCCGATGAGACAAGTTTAGTAGCCTACAATCTCATTGGTTCTCTATTAGCAGAGTTCACATTAGAAGACAGGCTTGATCTAGATTATACAGATGGATATCTGAGAGGCAACTATTCATATCAACGGGATGCAGGTATTGAAGTGTTTTCCTTTTTGTTTGAAAGGGTAATCTGAGAATATTTGTATATTGGTTCTGTAAGTTGTTAAAGAAGCAAGTTGCTGTAACTACTATGATGTTGTATTTAAGTCAACCTTGACTACTTTGGTGACCTCTGTTACCTGGTATTTTTCTTTCTACTCAAAATTGACATACTTACATTTGTCTCTTCTTGGTGTGATTTAGGAACAGAGTAATTGGTCCTAGAAATTATCATCCTATCTGTTAGATTCTTGTGTGCTGAGTATTTTACGGATCTTCTGCTAGCTTTGGATAGCAACATTTTGTGATTAATATCAGCAATGGCAAGCCAAATGGCTTCAAATTAGCATTTCCTAACCTTGTCGTGATTGCATAGAATATTTGGCTTATGGAGCTTCTTGCTCTCATGTGTTAATCAAGAAGCAGGAAAGACCTCTCCTAAGGAACAAGCAGCTGATTCTTTAGTTGTCGAAGTGGTTGAAGAGCTAATACCTTCCTTCCCCAGGAGGTATGTTGGTTTTCCATATTTAGTTGTTTCTGATAAATAGATTGTTTTCTTCGATGATATGTGCTGTGTTCTGCTCAGTAATCTCTTCCGGCTTTGGTTTTCCATGTTTATTTGTTTCTGAGAGATGGATTGTTTTCTTCGATGATACGTGCTGTCTTCTGATCAGTAATCTGTTTCAGTTTTGGTTTTCCTTTCTTGCTGTTTTTATGAGCGATAATCTCATTTTATTTGATGGCTGAGGTGATTAGAAGATGATATCAAATACTATGATGCTTGATTAATGTTAGGTGCAGGCTTATTTGGTGACGGCATAGAATTGCAGAAGATATGCATATGGTAGTTAATCTTTGATGCGTCATTTTCTCATGTCCTGCAGTGGAGTGGAAAAACTGAAGGAGCTGATGGGCACTTGAAAATTGCTTGGTATAGTCCGGAGCAGCCCAGAATGATATGCCAGTATTTTGGCTATGTTGACGAAGCTCATCTCCTTTTGCCGATATGTGCATGGTTAAGAATGACAGGAAGGGAGTTGAAGGCTTGCAGATTAGGAATGACAGGAAATGGGTATCTGTCAAGCTCCTTCCCAATGCGTTTGTGGTCAGCATTGGTGATATTCTTGAGATAATAACCAATGGGATGCTCAAGAGCATCGGGCATCAGGCGACAGTGAACTAGGACAAGGAGATGCTGTCGGTTGCTTGTTTTCATTCTAGGTCTTAGGTTTGATCAGGGAAATTGGCCTTGCACCGAGCTTGGTGTCTGGAGACACTCCATTGTTCAGGAATGTGATCGATAAGGAATTCCTTGATGGATTATTCTCTCGCGAGCTTCAGGTGAAGTCTTACCTCGATACCTTGGAGGATCTGATGAGTTCTGGAAAATGCCCTACGAAACGCTTCTTTTGGGCTTGCTTGCTGCTTGTTCTTTTCTAGGTCAGTACTGGCTGTATTTGTACATGAGCAGCAGAAATGGAACTTCTGTTTATTTGGTTTGCATAATGTTAGGGTAAAATTCATGGGATGCCACAATCAAACATATCCCGGATTCCCGGTGTTCTGGAAATATTATTACATATTGTATTTCTTATTGCTTTTGCCGTCAAATTGCTGATTATTCCCTTTCATACATTAGAAATTTTCGCTATATTATTTATAATACATTACCAGGGATGACAATCAATTGTTTTGTTGGACAATTTGACTCAATTATTATATGATCTCAGTATTGGATTAGACCTAAATGAACCCAATGCACTATAAATAATTTATGTCCTGCCCTTGAAACACCTGGTGGGTCTTTCCAAATAGAACTGCACTGCACTACTACCAGTGATCGACCTGACACCAGTCGCCAAAAAATTGCCCTCTTGAGCCAACTTTGGATTCACCTATCGACACCATTAGCAGACTAAAAGAAGAAAATAAGGAGTGCATTCTGAGGTAAAGAAACTTAAATACTGAAAACGGTATCCAGAATAGTGTGAAGTTCTTTTTCTCCTGTATGTGCTGAACACTTAATTGTTTGCAGATCATTACCAGTGTCAGTGGAGCATACCGTAGCATCAAGCATCGTGCAACGGTGAATTCTGAAATGGAAATGCTGTCAATTGCTTGCTTCCATTCTCCAAAGTACGACGGTGAAATCGGTCTTGCTGCTAGCATGATCACAGAAGAGACGCCTGCTGTGTTCAAGAAGGTGACTATAAGAGAGTTCTACAATGGCCTCTTCTCCCGCCAGCTTGACAGCAAGGCTTACATCGACACATTGAAAATCCAACAGAAAGAGAACCATTGATCTAAGCAAGGAAAGAATGTAAAAGATCACAGCCTTGAGGATGAGTCATGTAACTATCTCTTGGGAATTCACCATTATATTGATGTTTCTTGTAAGCGAAGCAACCGGAGAATTCCGATTTTATTATGTTGACGACAACAAGTTCAATCATGTCCAAAGAATGATGCATATTACAATCCTATTCTGCAAATGAAAAGAAGCCAAACTTGTTTCTGTCAACAAGTTCAACCATGTCCAAAGAATGATGCATATTACAATCCTACTTTGCAAATGAAAAGAAGCCAAGCTGGTTTCTGTCATATTATTTCATGAGAAATGAAATGCAACTACAAAATTGGTGTTTCCTTTTCTTCATCCCCACGCTTCCCTCCCTGTTCATTTCTTTTCTTTTTTATCTCACTTTTTTTCACAGTTAAGATTCTGACTGAAGGATGATATTATGGACTTCCATCACTTTTCTTCTTCTTTTTACTGCACATGTATATGCCTTGTATATCACAAAACCCCGTTTGACTTCAGTT